ACAAATCATTTGGAAGAAATCTTGAATAGGGCTTGAGACCTAACAAATTTTGAGGACTTCAGAATACTTTCGATAAGATGGGATCTATCAAAGGCCAAAGGGGGTTGAAAGAGGCATTCCATTAACCAATAATACTGATGAGTAAACCAAATTTGAGGAAATTTGGAATAAAAAAAAACACTTTTAGGATGCTTTATACAAATATGGATTCTATTTCTTTCAAAGTTTTGTAACTAGTGTAATTTCTAAGGCTTGGCAGCCACAGTGCTGTCATTACAGATAGCTACTGTTAATTCACCAGAAAAGGACATTTCATTATACTTCATTACATTTTGTTACATTTAACATGTGATTTTTATGTCCTATTAAATCATATAACCATATATTTTACTGTACAGTACTGTATATTGATAGTATATATCATATATTAATTTTTTCTTCTGCTTTCAGCTTATAGGCAGCTCTCTTTTGTTTGTTCACAATGATACTTCAGCCTTAGTTAGAATGATAGACTTTGCCAAGACCATTCCACTACCAGAAAATGTGCACATAACCCACCAGAGCCCCTGGTCAGAGGGAACACATGAAGATGGGTATTTACTAGGTCTGGACAACCTCATTGATTTATTCTCTGTAATGGAAAAGAACCTAACCACAAATGGTGAAACCTCTAAATCAGTGTCATCTTCCTCTTCTGACAAGACCAACAGCAGCACCACAGGGACTCCTTCGACCTCCGATAAGACGAACAGCAGCATCACAGTGACGTCTTCCTCCTTCGACAAGATGAAGAGCAGCAGCAGCAGCCTCACGGCTATCTCCCCAAGCATTAACAACCTCAGTGCACAAGCAATCAGTACCAAGCCAAGCTAGGTCTGCTCTACACTACAAGTATAAAAGAAAACAATGTACAAATCCTCAGCTCTGTCGTACATTTACTGAAATTGGCCATTTGTGTTTGTGAAGTTGTTACAGAATGGTTGTTGTGTATGTTTTGCAGCTCATACAGTGAGAAAATTATTTCATGAAATGTGTGCCATTATTAAGACATTTCTTAGTGACATCTTAGATAGGTTTTACTGTGATGCAGATATAGACAGTACTGAATATGTGTTTGCTGTGCGGCACTAATGGACCTTGCCTCTTGAAAGGTGTATTTATCCCCATGCAACCTCTTGGGACTAGTCATAATCTTTTCCATATATATTTCAAATAGTCGAGTCCCATCTCCAAATTCAAGGATAGTATTTGTATTTGTGCCTTTTGTGTATATATTTATATATATTGTACATAGCCTTGAATACCTCGTATTATGTCATGTCATGAAGTAACTTGACAGTTATGTTGACTGTTACGACTGAATACTAATGCATAGTGTAATGCATGCTCCGCTGTTAGGAAGCATACCAAAAGTCAGTATCAGTTAGTCAGCTCTATTAATTAATGTCTTGAAAAATATCTTTTGATATTTATTAAAAATGTGTTTCATCATTAAACATTAATTTATTCATGTTAGTTTAATATCCTCTATTAAAGAAGATGTAAGAGCCCTGTTGTTGACTTTTTTTTTTAAATGTATGAAGCCTATTTCAGAGATGTTATGTTTTGCCTGGAGGAAGAAGAAAATATCATTCTCATTTTGCTCATTAGACAAACAACCACACTGACATGTCTGAACTCCAGGTATAAATAAAAGGTAAAACATAAGGTAAGTGAACTAAAAGAAAATTGATATAATATGAACCTAACAAGAGATTTAAGTAATGTTAAATATTACAGATCATACTCAATCCTAACAAGAGATTTTGACCAATCTTGTTATGAGTTGGGTTTTTTCTGCTAGTATTTGTCAGAAAATTATCACCAGTTAGCTAACATCAATTACTGTAGTACAATCACAGAAGCTTATAGTCCTAAGAATCACCCAAGGTAACACAATGAATTCACACTGGGAATAAAAACAAAGTTAACATATACCAAGTTGAAGCTACTTTGTTTTTCAGTAGCATAGTATTTAATTGGTTTCAGACCTTCTTGAGGTTATCTTGAGGTTATCTTGAGATGATTTCGGGGCTTTAGTGTCCCCGCGGCCCGGTCCTCGACCAGGCCTCCACCCCCAGGAAGCAGCCCGTGACAGCTGACTAACACCCAGGTACCTATTTACTGCTAGGTAACAGGGGCATTCAGGGTGAAAGAAACTTTGCCCATTTGTTTCTGCCTCGTGCGGGAATCGAACCCGCGCCACAGAATTACGAATCCTGCGCGCTATCCACCAGGCTACGAGGCCCCCTTACCTAAAGTAAGTGCTGGAACAGACATCACTGAATGCATCTTGGAACTGGGTGACCATTGTAATGTGTACAACAAACGCCATCTCCTGCCATTCATCACGTCTCAACCCAACCATAGTACCGGATCATGTATTTAACAGCATTATTTGTATTATTACTACTGAATCTTGAAGATTTTATTCAGAATGGTCATCTAATCTGAATTGGCTAATCTAGGATTGGAGTTTGTTATTGTTCTAATTGTCAATTTATGTTGAGTAATAATAGATTGTAGGTAATTTTGGATTGAAGATCCCTAAACACATTCCATGATATATGGAGAACTCTATCAACATCAGAGGCCCGAGACTGTTCAACACGCTTCCACTACACATAAGGGGCATAACTGGCCGACCCCTCACAGTGTTCAAGAGAGAACTGGATAAACACCTCCAAAGGATACCTGATCAACCAGGCTGTGACTCATACGTCAGGCTGCGAGCAGCCGCGTCCAACAGCCTGGTTGATCAGTCCGGCAACCAGGAGGCCTGGTCGACGACCGGGCCGCGGGGACGCTAAGCCCCGGAAGCACCTCAAGGTATGGATAGATAAATGATTAACAAAGGGTTACCAAGGCAGAGCGAGGTACGTAGTATCAAAGATTTTATAGAGAATGTTTCTACTGTTTTAGAATTTTTGTATTTGTTTATTTTTTACAGTACAGTATATGGCAATTGAAATTTAGTTTATGTGAACAACAAGGAATTTTCCATTTATTCTGCCCTCATTTTTAGCATTTTTAATTATTACTTCAACTTAATTTGGTTGACTTGTTTCTAAACAATATGTAACACTTTTTTAATTTTTATTTATTTATTTATTTATTTATTTATTTATTTATTTACTTATTTATATACAAGAAGGTACATTGGGTTTATGAGAGTACATAGCATTGATATTTTTACGTTATTGTAAAGGCACTAACACACACAGCGTTTCGAGGTAGAGATCTTAAGGGTGGGTTTGTTAGTAGTCGGCCAAATGGAATCTTTATTTATTTTTTATTCAGTTTTCACTGTGTCAGAATAAGTGGGCTCGCATTTTAGAAAATGAAGGTTGTGTCATCAGCAAACAGAATGGGTTTCAGGTGCTGCAGGTCATTTGTAAATAAGAACAGTCTCCGTGGTGTAGTGGTAAGACACTCGCCTGGTGTTCCGCGAGCACTATGTCATAGGTTCGTATCCTGGCCGGGGAGGATTTACTGGGCGCAATTCCTTAACTGTAGCCTCTGTTTAACGCAACAGTAAAATGTGTATTTGGATGAAAAAACGATTCTTCGCGGCAGGGGATCGTATTCCAGGGACCTGCCAGAAACGCTACGCGTACTAGTGGCTGTACAAGAATGTAACAACTCTTGTATATATCTCAAAAAAAAAAGGAAAAAAAAAAAAAAGTAGTGGACCATGTAAACTAACCTGCGGAATGGTAATGTTAATTGGCGGTGTGGGAGAAGTAGCATCATTCATAGAAATATACTGGTGCCTGTCACTGAGGTAAATTTAATATTATTGAAAGGAGTGACCCTTGATTCCATAATGTTGTAGTTTGAGAAGATGATTACAGTAGTTAACCCTCAAAGGCTTTACACAGGTCAATAGATAGACCTATAGGGTACTAGAGAGGATGGGGGGGGAGACAGGTTTGATTGATTGCTGCCGCCGGAGGCAAGTAGTTTATTGTGCACCCCATATTCATCCTGTGAGCAGTAGTGCAAAAGGATTACAGAGGGCACAAAAGGTCTTTATCAGATGATTATTACATTAACATTTTCATCTATCCTTCACACCTTATAATTACAGTGTCAGCTAGTTACAGAGAATGTTCTATTTCACGAGCTATATATTTATATTAAATCATTATACATTAATGGTAGGTCTTATTGCTAATACATAATTGTTTGAGCAATGAAGATGCAATTATGTATTAGCGATAATGGGGATAGGCATGCCATACTTCCTGAGAACACACCCATGCCTCCCAGCGCATCCCACCTAATGGTTGGAGATTTTATACATTGGTCTAAGCTCGGTTCAAGAGCTTACCTGACAGATCAGACAGCCCTACCACCCTGGGACCAAACCTAGGCCTGCTACCTGCACAGGTCTGTTTGGCCCGATCCTCAGAGCCAAACCTTATCCGTAAGTAATAGATCTACTGCACCAACTTCCTTTACCTACATTAGTCTATCAACCAGAGGCTGCTTGCCTTGGAGACTAGCTGCAGATATGGCTATGCACTGGCCTAAAGCTCCTTTTAATGTCATTAACTTCGTGTCCTGTGTGCCAACCCCCTGATTTTCTACAATGCAGGCCATGTAATCCATACTCACCTGTATGTGCCTCACTGCAAATACATTTATCTAAACACTGTGGATTGGGGCAGCAAAGTGATGGGCAACTGCAATACAGAGCTGCTGCGGATTAATAATAATAATACTGTAATGATAATAACACTATTTTATTTACACGGTGGTGCAATGGGATTGTGAGATGACGTATGATTGGTATTTTTATATTCTTACAGAGCCACTAACATGCATAACATTTCAGGCAGGTCCTTAATCTAACATATTTAACACATAACCAAGAAAGTCTCAAAAACAGTTGATATACTCTCTAAAATCAGATATTATGTTCCAAACTCTGCTCTCCTCTCACTATATTATGTGCTAATCTATCTCTATCTTACTAATGGTATCTGTGCATGGGGTTCAATCTCTGCAAACTACCTCAAGCCCATCATCACCCAGCAAAAATCTGCTATCAGAATAATAACAAACTGTGCTTTCAGACAACACTCAGCCCCCCTGTTTAAATCTCTAAACATACTAAACATAGACTCACTCGAGACATTCTCTTGTGCCAGTTACATTTACAAAACCCTGTACTTAAGTGCAAATCCTGTTCTGAAACTCTTCTTGGACAGATGTAATAGAACACACATAATCACCACACAAGAAATAAATCTCTCTTTGATATCCCCAGAGTCAAAGTTAATCTGTGTACACAGTCTATGGAACTCACTCCATAACGAATTGAAAAGCTGTCAAACTTTTACCTTATTTAAAAATAAAACCAAAAAGTACCTAATTTCATCTTCATAATTTCCTACCTAGTGCTTGAAACTCTCACTGTATCTAGTGCTACCCAATTCTCCAATACAGTATATGTACCTATGCCATACAACTTTACCATTGTAATCATTACTATTATCTTTTATCATGTTGACCAGACCACACACTAGAATTTGAAGGGACGACGACGTTTCGGTCCGTCCTGGACCATTCTCAAGTCGATTGACTTGAGTCCAGGACGGACCGAAACGTCGTCGTCCCTTCAAATTCTAGTGTGTGGTCTGGTCAACATACTTCAGCCACGTTATTGTGACTCATCGCCTGCATCTTTTATCATGTTATACACATAGTTTGCTACATTATATCTTGCAATAATCCTCAATTTATACTAAAATGTACCTGTGGATAACCCTCAAATTTCTTATACAATATATATTTTCTGGGGGAAGCTCCGTCGGCTCCCCGGAGCTTTCCCAGACTGATATGCTAATGTCAGACTTTGGCATCAGTCATGTGTATGGAGTTCTTAGGCCTACCGGGGACCACGGCCAGAACCGGGCCTTCCCCCTCAGAGAGGCAAGGGAAGCAATTGCCTATAGAAACCCCTGTGTGGTTGGAAGCATTCTATGTCTGCCATCGACCGGAACAGGCACCCAGAAAGGTAAGCGCCTCAAAACAAACCCCCTATTCTGCTTAAAATTGCTACCAAAAGCCAAACTTGTGGATAGAACTCCCCAACAGAAAACAAGCAAACTAGTGTGACGTCACACGTCGCCGCGCCGCTTGTCTGCGCAGCTTTCCCCTTCCCCGGGAGGGGGAAGGGGGAGCCCCAGACCCTTCACGCCGGCTACCCATACCTCAGTTCTTGAGTCTGATGCTATAGGCGAAGGTCGTGTGCTCTGGCTCCGGTGTCTTTACAGCACTGTGCTTCGTGTGTGGTGTTGGTTTTTATGAGTGCGAGAGCCAGGAGTTATCTTCAGTACTCGGGCTGCATGCGCCTAGGGCTGCCTTCCCTAGGTACCCTGTAAGTACTGCCCTTGGAGCTTGGGGCCACCTTCCACAGGCTCCTCGGGGTCTGCCTCTTTAGTTAGTTTAGTTCATTTATTATGCACCCCATACCCATCTTGTGGACGGTAGTGGAAAGGGTTACAGAGGTACATACCCGCCAAACACACACCGAAACTACAACGTTGGTACAACGTTCGAACAAGTTTTAACACCTAACCAGTTATAACAACCAATATAACACGTTGTAACAACGTTCTAATACGTCATAAAAACGTTAAGCCAAGATGTAACAACTTTATTACAAGTTGTAACAAGCGGAAAATAAAGACATTTACGGTTTGTGTTTCCAGGGTAATGGGCTCAGGGACTGAACCCCACAATTCATTTAGCTAAGCAAGTTACAATCTTGATGAGCTAGTTACAAAATTCAATACAAGTCGTCACATCAACATTGGGTTCGAGATCGACCTCAAGTACAGGTTCTAAATTAAGCAACTGACATATGTGGAGAGCTAGTGTCACAATTGATATGTTTGTCCTGCACACCGCCCCCCATCCAGTGGGCAGCGGTGGATAGGTTACAATCACTTAGTTACTACCTACAGTTAGCAAACTGGGGATATTTGGCTAAAATTTCTGGTCTGCCTCTGCTGGTCCGTTTTACCTTTTCGATTTTTCGGCCGCCTGTTGGGCTCTTTGGTGTTCTGTTCTCCCTTGTTACCGGCAGGTAAGAGGCAGTTTGCACTGGTAGGAGCGCAGGGTGCTGCAGAGCTTGTATTCCCGACATAGCGGCCGGCTCTGTTCCATGGGGTTCGTTGTCGTCTTCCGGGTTTTTTTCTTTTTGTTTTTGCCTGATGGGGGGTTCTGCCCTATTATTCAACTGGTGTTTGCCCTTCCACGGTTCTCCTCGGTGGCGCTCCCTGCTAGGTCCCCGTGAGTGTACACGTCCCTGGGGTCCAGGTTCGCTTGGTAGTTTTGGGCGCCGGTTAGCAGCGCCCTGCCTGGGGACTACCTGAGCGCGAGTTCTCTTAAAGTAAACGCTCAGGACCCTGGGAATCCCCTAGGGGGCGCGTGGGTCCGATGGATGTGACCCCAATCGAGTCCCCGCTCGCTGTGTGCGAGTTTGAGGGTTGCTCGGTCCCCTTGTCTCAGGGTGACCCTCATTGTTTTTGCCTCTGCCACGCTGCCCGCTGTTGCTTGGAGCGGCCCGCAGGCCCACATACCCACCACAGCCCGGTTGGTCCGGCACGCCTTGAAGGAAACACTCTAGTTTCCTCTTGAAGATGTCCACGGTTGTTCCTGTAATATTCCTGATGCTCGCTGGTAGGACGTTGAGCAACCGTGGACCTCTGATGTTTATACAGTGTTCTCTGATTGTGCCTATGGCACCTCTGCCCTTTACTGGTTCTATTCTGCATTTTCTTCCATGTCGTTCACTCCAGTACGTTGTTATTTTACTGTGCAGATTTGGGACCTGGCCCTCTAGTATCTTCCACATGTATATTATTTGGTATCTCGTCTCCTTTCTAGTGAGTAGATTTGGAGAGCTTTGAGATGATTCCAATAATTTAGGTGCTTTATCGCGTCTATGCGTGCCGTATATGTTCTCTGTGTTCCCTCAATTTCAGCAATCTCTCCTGCTCTGAAGGGGGAAGTGAGTACTGAGCAGTTCTCAAGACGGGACAACACAAGTGATTTGAAGAGTACAACCATTGTGATTGGATCTCTGGACTTGGTTCTCGTAATCCATCCTATGCGTAATCCAAGTTATGCGATATCAATAATGATTATCTTCGTCGCTATCCCATAAATATCGCGAAACTTGTTATAGATTGGTAATTGCAATTTATGCATAGAAACCCCACATGCCGGCTGCAGCCGCCATGACCAGAATCGCCAGCCCATCTACAACACTGCAAAAGGGGGAAAAAATTCAACCATTAATTTTCAGCTTCGTTCATGTGAAGTTTTTAAACACATTCCTGATCGTTTAAACAAAGTATAAAAATGTACTGTAATGTGGTTATTATCGGATGCAGATTGTGTAGCAGAAGAAAGGTTGAATATATATATATATATATATATATATATATATATATATATATATATATATATATATATATATATATATATATATATATATATATATATGTGTGTGTGTGTGTGTATCACGAAAATAAACACGTGATTAAAAATGTGACAATGTCAGACCACGGAGGAAAATGAAACGAATTTCCTTAAGTACTTTCGTATATTAATACATCTTCAGAAGGAGTGGATTAATACATCTTCAGAACACTCCTTCTGAAGATGTATTAATATACGAAAGTACTTAAGGAAATTCCTGTTTCATTTTCCTCCGTGGTCTGACATTGTCACATTTTTAATCACGTGTTTATTTTCGTGATATACACACACACACACACATATATATATATATATATATATATATATATATATATATATATATATATATATATATATATATATATATATATATATATATATATATATATATATATATATATTTAATATATTTAATATATTGCAAGCTGTATCTTTGTCTGGAGGAATAGTCTACACTGCATATATGGCGCCACCAAAAATTGCCACCTGTGTAATGTTATGGACTGACGTAAATAATGAGGCTACATATATAGTCTTCCCGGCTTGGCGTCTTCCGGTGATTATTACTTATTTTCTAGAGTGATTATCAGAGGCTAGGACGAACATACACTATACTTACTTCGTCCAAGGTTTCTTTTCCTCCAAGAAACTGGCTGCTGCTTTGGCTTTTTCCTCTGGAGTGGCCTGGTCGGCCGGGTCCTGGGCGAGGGCTATGTTCCGTGTGTCAACCCCACAAGCACAGTTGACGAACCTCCTCCATGGTGGCAAATCTGAGGCTACAAAATAATATTCTTGTGGTTATATTTGATTGCAGTGATTAAATTAACCGTTTTTTTATGATTATTATAGATGCATTAATGACTATGTGAATATTTCAAAGTGTCCTTCAAAAATGGAGGATCTCGTTATTAAGGAATGTGGCAAATGTGAAAAGCTGGACCGGTTAATTCGAACTATGATTTTGTAGTGGGCCTAGGAAAGAAAGCCACAATCAAAGACTGCTTATATTAGGCCTAAGAGAGGTTAGGTTAGCTTCCAATTTTTCTTGTAGTTTAATATTTAAATTGTACAATACGTTGACTTTTTGGTGAGCATCAGTCGCTATAGGATAGGTACTGTCGCTTATAGATGATGGGCTGGCCTGTTTCCATAATTTTATCTCGTGGAGAGTTCAGCAAAATTGAACACTAACAAATCAATGCACTCGCTCAAAACCAAATAAAATTGCAATGCAATTTGCTTATTTAAAAAAAGTTAAAAACGAGCCCAATTGCTTATTTGGGACGGAAAACTTGCCTGGTTTGTCAGCGGGGTCGTTGCTCGCAGCTTGGACTGTCTTGACACTCGGTATAGGGTCGACTTTAGCCTGCTTGGTGACCAGATCCTCGTTTCTCCAGTCTCTGACTGACACTCGCACTTCCTCGCTGTGGCGACTCCAGAAGGTTAGTCGGTACAGCTGAAGGATGAACATTGTCAAGGACGGTGCAAGGGTATTTGGTGCTCTTGGCAAATATCCAAGATGTTTCATACCACCCTTTTCCCATATATATAGCAGTATTGTTAGTTCATTGCTCAAACAGCTTTAGCCCAGCCACTTGGGCTGGATGGTAGAGCGCCGGTCTCGCTTCATGCAGGTTGGCGTTCAGTCCCCGACCGTCCAAGTTGTTGGGTAACAATCCTTCCCCCCGTCTCATCCCAAATCCTTATCCTGACCTCTTCCAAGTGCTATATAGTTGTAATGGCTTGGCGCTTTCCCCTGATATTCACTCACTCAAACAACTTTAGCCACTGCATTTATGTATGTTTTGCGAATACAGAAATTGTGCACTTGTGTGGTTGTTCATTTTATGTGGTTAATTGATGGCAATACCAGAAAATTTATAAGAAATAGAAAGAATAAATTCCATGAATGGACGTTATTCTCTCGCTCTCACATTGCAACTTACACATTTCTTGGGTATGGGTTCGGTGAGGTAGGACACAGCCACGGTCACCACCAAGACGATTAGGAACAAAATACACCCAAAGTGGAGATAGTGAACGTTCCCCACGATCACTTTGATCCACTCGGGCCGAAGGTCCTGGTTTTCATCTGTGGATTAAGGAAGATTTTTTTTGTTTTAACAAACGTAGGTATACACATCAATGTGCTGCTGCTGCTACTCTATTCTGTATGAACGATTACAGAGTGTAGATCAAAAACTAGGTGAAAGTTCATCTAATATTCCCATCTCACAGGATGGTTAGTCATGCATGGGATCAGGAGAGAGCATGAAATGCGGGTCTAATCTATTAGTCTGTAGTAGTTTCCTGCCCGAAACGCTTTGCGTAATAGTGGCTTTAGGCATTGTATGTACTAGCTCTATCTATTAAGCCAACAAACTTTGTAAAATCTCTTTATGTATGTACCTTTACCTAAATAAATTATTATTATTATTATTATTATAGTAGCAAACGCTGGGTTGAGCACAATAATATCGTCCAATATTCGTGAGTGTATACGTACTGACGTAAATGACGAGGCTACATAGTCTTCCCGGCTTGGCGCCTTCCTGTGATAATTACGTATTTTCAAGAGCTTTGAAAAGCTATTTTAGAGCTCAAAGTACCTCGTACCATTTAGTCTGAAATCATTGATAATAGGGCATTCACAGATATAATGTTGGAGAGTATGTCCTAACTCTTATTCACATAATTTACAATTGGAATGCTCACCATTCGGAGATTTATTAGCTGCAGCCACCTATCTGAAATATCGAATATCCAAGCCTAATTCAGGTAGTCACAATGTCATACTGACTAATGGATGTTTTGTGCTGCCCGTACAATTCTCGGTCTGAACATAACTGTTTATACTCGTGATTCCTGTCCTTTGAGTGTCAGTGATTGGTCTTCTGCCATCCCTAATTTCCTAGAATATTGCTGTTTATAGAACAGAGATTGGAATATCTAAATCTAACTAAATTTTAGGCTTATCACATGCAGCTATAGCAGCTTCATATCAGCTTCCTGCAATGGTCAGAAGGCAGCAGGAACAATTAAAACAAGAGAGGTTGACAGTCATTCATGAGAACATAGCTACAAATGACGAATATGACTGTCCCTTCACCAAAGAAGAACTAATCAGTCAAAAAAGGTGGTAAGGACACTGCACCAGGTGCTGATAACATTACATACTCAATTATTGCACATGTAGGTCCTGCTGGAGAACAAGGAATATTGGACGTTATCAATGCATCTTGGCAGCAAGGCAAACTGCCGACCTCTTGGAAGAAAGCAGACGTCATTCCGATTCCTAAGCCGAAAGAACCTGGCAATTACAGACCCATTTCATTAACATCATGCATTAGTAAAACTGCAGAACGGATGGTCTTAAATGTCTTACAGAATGGCTTCCTGTCCCCGAACAAAACGAATTAATAAACTCACCTCCACACCCGGGGACAGTGAAGGCGAACTCCATTGCAAAACGGACGATACCAATCGCCAGACCAACGCTGAGGCCCCAAAACGCTCCCTGTGGTGAGACATCAATCCAGCAATCTCCCCAGGTTGAAGCAACACCCGTCATGTAACGCAAGACGTCGTCTAAGGGTTTAGGGAAGCTTAATATGAGGTGTACAGTGATTAAGCTGACGTTTGAAGTGCCAAGGGCCATCCTATGCCATATGGCTTTCATTGGTTTAAAACCTGTTCTATCATTACATTATGCCATCATAGTGACGTCACACATTCGTGCACATACACACACACAATTATATAATATATATATATATATATATATATATATATATATATATATATATATATATATATATATATATATATATATATATATTACACGTTTTATCTTCGTTTGGTTAGGTTATGATAGGTTAGATTGGGCAGGAAAGATTATGTTAGGTCAGGTCAGGTTATATTGGGTTGGGTTAAGTCAGATTACATCAGGTTAGTTTCCATAGTGATGACGTAGAGCTACATGCTTTTCTCAGGTCTCAGACCTTCTCCCAAGAAGTGGAATCTCTGCAAGGAAGTCAAATCCCTGTTCCTCCCAGCACCAAATGGTGGATTGACGTTAAAAAACACACAGGTACAGAGCAGATGTAGAGACCAAGGCTGGATAGGTTAGCCAAGTGTTGAATATCTATTGCCATGTTTCAAGCATCATTCACGCCTATAGAATATGCCATGTTCTATACATCATTCACGTCTTTAGAATATGTCATGTTGCAAGTATTATTCACGCCTTTAGAATATGCCATGTAAGCCTCATTAACACCTTAAAAATATGCCGTGTTGTAAACATCATTCACGCCTTAAGAATAAAATAGGTTGCATTCAATCTTGTTCTTTATAATAAACAATGCATAGAGTATATTTATATTTTTAAGGAGTAAATGCTAGTACTGGATCGAAACCTAAAAAAATTTTTGTAAATAGTTCATGAGCTCCGAAGCACCACGAGGCTATCTACAACAGTAGTGACATTAAGATGTGAAGTTTCCAAGCTCATAGACTGCTCGAGGAAAGATGCACAGGTTTTGTAAGTGGACACGTAATTGCTTGATCTATCCATATCTCAACTATGGCATTTGTGCTTGGGGCTCTACTACCCAAAATCACTTACGTCCTCTAATTACTCAACACAAAGCTGCTATTAGGACAATATCCAACTCTGGCCCCAGTCATCACTCGGTACCCCTACTCAAATCTCTGAATATGTTAGACATTAAGTCACTGCACATTCTCTCATGTGTATTATACATATATAAAACGCTAAACTATAATGCCAATCCTGATCTCAAAAGCTTCATAGAAGGTTGTAACAGAACCCATGAGCACTATACCAGAAATAATACAGTTTTGATATTCCTAGAGTACGACTTAATCAAACTAGAAATGCTCTACAAATCAAGGGGCCTAGAATGTGGAATGACTTTCCCAACCATGTTAAAGACTGTACCTCTCTCAACCAGTTTAAGATAAAAACGAAGCTATACCTAATAAATTCCCTGTAACCTACCTTACCCTTCTATTGTCAACCAATGTCTGTTTTTTTTTAAAGAGCGCTGTTTGTCGACATAATTGTATTTGTGCTGCTTTTTCAGCTATGTTTTCATTTCTTGTTTTCATTCTACTCTTTATGCTCAATTAGTATTAAGCTTGTCATTTAAGTTTTTCATGCCCGAAACGCTTTGCGTAATAGTGGCTTTAGGCATTGTATGTACTAGCTCTACCTATAAGTCCACCAATCTTTGTAAAAATTTCTTGTATGTATGTACCTTACCTAAATAAACATTTATTTATTTATTTATTTATTTATTTTTATTTATTTATTTATTTATAAATCCTGACTCTGCACTTACACTTCGATCCTGGCAGCAACTCGCTATTTTCTAGGTAGTTTATTATCTCTAAAGTACTTAAAGGCTGTCTTCATCCGAAGGATATTTTTGTTACAGACGTTTTAATTAGTACTTCGTTGAATAATTAACGACTAAGTCGGTAAGAGGATAGAGATCTCTTAAGTGAACAGGTCAATCCACTACGAATCCTGGCCTTAACCACCAAACTGGCCAGCGCCGCAGTTTATTCCTTCAATGGCAATGTAAATGTTGAATCTGAACCATTGGACACCGGGTGATATTTTGAGTATAGACAAACATGCATTATATTGGATGCCAATTATGGTAAATTATAGTTACATCTTAAAATTGGGACACCCGTAATGTTTCGTTGTTCTAGCTAGTTACGAATATGATTTACTGTGACTTACAAGTTCGTTGGAGTAGTTAGACTATTGATGCGACTTACAGGTTCGTTGGTTCGTTCCCAGAAGATTGCCAGGAGGTAGACAGCGCAGATGGGAGGAGACAAGAAGGAAGATATACTCTGGATGTAAACAAACAATTGAGAGTTTGCGGAATTTCTGTGGGACAACAGACGCTCAAATGAGGGTTTTTAGAGTGGAAAATATTTCGGTAACATTATCTTATACACAAATTGAAATTATTAATTTAACATTATATGTTATTAGATAGTGATATAGAGCTCACTGGATGACGGGGATCCAGATGACGGACACCACTACCATCACCAACACGAACACTCGACCCACGATCAACAGTTCCACGTCCGTCGCTTTCTTGTGAATCCTCGTCCAGATGTCGATGGTGAAAATGGTGGAGGAGGAGTTGAAGATAGAGGTGAGAGAGGACATGAGGGCTGCCATCATCACTGCAAGCATCAGCCCGGACAGTCCTGGAGGCGAGAGAGGACATGAGGGCTGCCATCATCACTGCAAGCATCAGCCCGGACAGTCCTGGAGGTGAGAGAGAACATGAGGGCAAACATCACCACCCCAGAACAGTCCTGGACCCAGATTCACTAATCATGCATTTCTTCTTAAATGATTGTGCTGCGAAGGTTTTGGGAACTTCTAGAAGACCTCTGCACATGATTCATCAAAATGTTCTTGCTCGATTATTAAAAGATTTTATTCTGTTTCACCTACGCCTCGACAGATGTCACTAGTGCTTTTCGTTTGACCAAAAGTAACATTGTTCATTTTATCGTTTAGCCAATCACGTTGCTGGCTCAGTTGGAGAAGTGATCAATCGCATACGTTTGTCCGAAGACCGGCAATGTTATGGTATCCACATGCAGACGATGTCACAATACCGTGGCTGAAGATAAGATGACCAAACCACACACCAGATGATGAGACGACGACGTTTCCGTCCGTCCTGGATCATTATCAAGTCGATTGTCTTTAATCGACTTGATTGAAGAAAATCCGTCCAGGACGGACGGAAACGTCGTCGTCTCCTCATCTTGTGGTGTGTGGCTTGGTCGTTATAGTATCCTTCAAGTGTCCAGACATCGGTGATCTTAGCTATGCCTTTGTTTATACATAAGCTATGTTCCTTGAAATGGTGTCATGATAACATTTATATTTTAATTTTTCAGAAGGCATATAAAACTTTAAGCATTACTAACAAATCTTGATGTTATCAACATTTATATTTGTGAAATTGTTGTTCCCGTTGATTATGGCACCTGGAACCTATTCTCGTCTTCGTCATAAAATGAGTTTTCTCATGTTGTACATTCAGCACCAACATTATAATAATCAAATAAGTTATATTTCTTTACTCACCTAATTGTAAGAGGGTTTATGCAATTCTTTGAGGCTTTGTGCAAGATGAGGCTTCGTACAATTCTGAGGCTTTGTGCAATTCTATGTACCATAAAAGACGCTCATTAAAACATGTACGTGGGTGGACTGCTAGCTGTCGTGGAGGGTGGACGTGTTCCCTACACTCTCCAACAGTTGGTGGTTGTTTGCCAGTTTGGCCGATTGGGGACGTGTGTGTGTGTGTGTCTGCCCGCCTGTGCAGACGTGGAGTTCACGATGGGAGTCCCTCTTCTCCCTGTAGTGCGGGCTAAGTCTGTGGGCCTCGAATTTTCCAGACAGGCTGGGTACCCGGAGATAGCGCTGGTGTGTGATTTGCTTCATGTCCGTGATAAATATTTATGGAGTCGAGCTGGTGACGGCACGTCGGGCGATCGTGAAGTTTACGGAGGAGTTGGCGTATCGGGAATTTCTCCGTCGATACGAGGGGCAGACCTTACCCCTGCCGGATGGTGCGGGCACTGTGACCCTCTCTGATCAGAGTGGTGCCCTCACTTACGTCAGTGTACATGGGGCGCTCTTGGAGTCTGCTACGGCGGTACTTTGGCCGGTTTGGCGCCATAGTTAGTGTGCGGTTGCACATGATTTCCTCCAGTCCGCTCAAGGGTGTGAGGACTAACATTCGCACCCTGGGCATGCGGCTCTGGGCAGACACACCGTCCTCCGTGCGTCTTATGGGATACAACGTTCGGGTGTTTTACGCCCGCCAGCCTCAGACGTGTTATTGTTGTGGCCTCTTGGGCCATCAGACTGCTGACTGTTCTACTCCTGCCGTTGTGCCCGTGAACCTCTTCAGTGAGGAGGATTTTCCGCTGCTTTCTGTGGAGGAGGCTTCGGTGGATATGGACGTCTTTTCAGCCGTGGATGTGCCCCCAGTGTCGCCTGTTGCGCCGCCTGATGCACCCCCAGTTGTTGTCGCCTCTCCTCCGGGGGTTGTGTCGTCGCCTGGTGATCGTCCTGCTCCGGCTGGTGTCCCTAGGGTTCTTCCTACTGCCTTCTGCTCGATTCCCCCGTCTTCCAGTTCGTCCTCTGCTGCGTCTGACCCTGTCCTTGCACCCTCGCCGTCTGTTCCGGCTGTGCTGGGTGCTGGGGTGGATCCGCCGCTTCCTCCTGTGCCTGGCCTGGTGCCCCATGTGGTTGAGGATGCTGCCGTTCTACGACGTGCGTCGGTTCGCCCTGCTTGTGTTGCGCGTGTCTCTAAGTCAGCCTCCGGGTCTGATGATGTGCACCCAGAGCCTAAGCGTTCCCGGCGTTCTTCTGCATGGGCTGACGTTAGCGACTTCGATGCTTGTGGATCTGCCGGCAACAGCGGGGTGGCTCCGGTTGCGTTGCATACTACGGTGGTGGCGGAGGTGGATTTGCTTGCAGATGCTGGTGCCGGTGTTTCTGCCTCCACTTCAGATATGGTGTCTGCGGATCCTGCTTCGGGTGCGTCGCCTGCGTCGGATGGCTCCGGTTCTTTGTGGGGGATGGTTCTCCCTGCTGAGGTTCGTGGTGAGCGGGGTGGCCTGGTGGTGGTGTTGAAAATGGCTGCTCGCTCTGGGGGTTGTGACCCCTTCCTCGTTCCCCATTTCATCGGCGGCGGTCTCGACGCCTCTTCCGTCTCCAGCCGTCTCTTCAGTGTCTCCTGCGGTATCGGTAGAGGTGTTACCATCTAGTCGACCGTCCCCTGCTCCTGTGCGTACGGCGACGCGGCCGTCTCGGCAGCCCTCGTATGCTTCTTCGGTGTCGTCTGCTTCCTCGAAGGACGTGCTTTGCGCTCCCCAGCTTCGTTATGCGACTTGCGTCGGTGAGCTTAAGGAGTGGCCGTTTTCGCCTGATCTGGAGGTTCCCGAGTTTATGAAAGGCCCACAGTGGCAGGGGGATCGTCCCCCTACCGACATGGAATATTTGATTTGGGTGGCCTATAAGTGAAAGTATCCTTGGGCTTTGGAGATGTATGTTCCTGTCTCTGAGAAATGTATTCCTCGCTCATGATTCCTTTGTGTATTGTTTGTTGTGGGTTGTTTCCATTTGTGTGCATGGTTGTGGGGTGCGGGTTGTGTGTGTGTGTGTGGGGCAGGTTTGTTTCCCGGTTCCTGCGGGCTCCGGTTTGTTGTTGTGGGTTTATTTGTGTGGCTTGTGTGTGTGTGTCTGGTTCCTATGCGGTCCGGGGTTTGGTTAGTGTGTGTGTCTGGTTGTGGATGTCATGTTCTTATGTTATGTTTTGTGGTTCTATGTTTTTATGATGCTGTTTGTGTGCTTGTTTGTGTCGTGTTGCGTGCCCTTCAGGCTGTTGACGGCTTGTTTGTGTCGTGTTGCGTGCCCTTCAGGCTGTTGACGGCTTGTTTGTGTCGTGTTGCGTGCCCTTCAGGCTGTTGACGTGACCCGGTCTGGGTTTATGCTCTTTGTCGTGTTTTGCCATTGTGCTTTTCCTTTTGTTTGTTGTATACGTGTATTTCTTTCCTTGTTGTTATTATTATTATTATTATTATTATTATTATCGTTTTGTGTTGGTGCCTCTCCGTGTGTGTTTGAGTTTTTTTTTTTTTTTTTTTTTTTTTTTTTTTTCTACCACAGACGTGGCCACACATTTACAATGCTAACCAGCATATATACATTTTCTTCTGTCCTCCATGGACAGGGTTAGAGATGTGTTAAACATATAGTTCAAGGGTTTATTGAACACTCAACCGCAGAAGGTGATTCGGTGCTTTTAAAATGCTAACCTAACCTAACCTAACCTAACCTAACCTAACCTAACCTAAGCTAACCTACACACGTAAATACAAAGATACACAGATTTACGTACGCCCTACATAAAGTGTTTGAGGAGCTGGTAGCCTTGTTCTGTATATTTATGTTCTGGTGTTTCATTTCTGTATTGTATTCCGCTGTGTTTAACTTAATTGTTGTATTTTGTTTGTAATTTTTGTTTTGTGGTTGGCCCTTCCGGCCGGCGTTTTTGTGTTTAGTAAATTTGTGCTTTTACTTTTTTGCAAGTTTGTCATTTTGTTCTGTTGTTCTATTTGTTTGCTTTTATTGCACTTATAAGCATGCTTGCATGTAAAAATAAAAAAAATAAAAAATTCTGCTATTCTAATATTAACAGCGTATTTAGTACTGTACTCCACTTCAGTTCTGAGAGCCTTAAGTATGTTAACATTGTTGATGTAACTTTTTGACTGCAGTTAAGGTACAAGGAACTGAGAGACGAAGATATTTGGAAAAAAAGATACATAGTCAATTGGTTTGGTATCTATCTTTAGTTTTTGTGGTCCACTTTTGCTATTACAAATTTGCCTGTTAAATATCTTTGTTTTAGCACCGTTGATGCGTGTTATATTTCCAGTGATGGATTTATAATATCCATATCTATCTCTCTTCCTGATGGCATATACAATTTTAAACATTATTAACGAATCTGTTAATTACAGAATTAATCGAAGGGTGTGTGTAGAGTTCGGTGCTCGAGGGGCAGAACCACAGGTAGCATTTTGGAATGGTTAGTGGCATCACAGTTCTCTTCCACATACCTAGACATCACTCTCTAGTAATTTAATCCCGGACAGATATTTTTGATCCCTGCACTAAGAATGTTAACGCTGTAGCGAGTAGATTATCCCAATAATATACTCGCTCCAAATGCATTGTTAATATTCCTGTCAACCTTTGGAGATGAATGAGGTGAGGCGTTGCCCGGGCAACACGGTGAGGTGTTGCCCGAGCATATAAGCAGCAGAATAGCAAACATTAACTAGTCTACTTTCAAGTGTGGTCTAGAGCAGACACTTGCGAGATACTGTACCGACGCTCAGTGCGCTCAACTCACACCAAAGTATCACCTGTGTACTTCTGTATATTCGACCAAATATATATATAGTATCTTAGTGTCTGTGTTTATTTGTCACCATACTTTACGTAACAATAGAACCGTTACATTGGTGACCCCAGAGAGTTTCGACGATACCCAGCCACGATGGACTACAACATGGACTCTCACTGGACCTCTACTGCTACTGTTTGCTGTGATGGAACACTGCCAACACCCTCGCCACAGCTATGATTTTCATCGCGTCCATCTCTGCATTTTCATCTACTACGGCTTGCTGCTCCACGATCGTTACTCACTCATCTGACAGCCTCATCAATGATTACATCATGTTGGATCTACAGCTTGTCCTGCCGACTCTCCGTCGCTGCCAGGGCACTGCTTGTCCTACGCCCACGACAGCTGCTCTGTCATCAGATTCATCTACACGTTCACTGCATTTTGATACTCGGCCGACTCAAGCCCTTTGCGCAGTACAGGACTTACAGCTTGCGTTTCCGACACTTCGTCGCCTTCAGGACAATTCAGCTCTAGATGTGATTACCTCGTTGTCCTAATGCCTACATTACCTCCTAATGTCCTGGTGCCCGAGCCCATCCGCCCCGGATCTAAATGCTCCACCAGCGACCCAAGGACGCAACAATTATGCACATTCTTCTCTCCTGCTACACCGAGCTTGTCCACACACTGCCTACATCTTTTGGTACCAGACTACAATTTCCACAGTCAACAATGTAGTACTCGGCGTATACAGTCCTAATCAACCCAAGACGCTACAGCTTCGACACAGAGCAGACTACGACCGCATTGAGCCGCCACGCTCTCCCACATAGAGCTCCACGACTCCGGCCTCACTCAGCTCTCTGCTCTGCTCCAGGCTTCGTCTCAACGTCTGCGACACTGCTAAATCCAGAGACACATCCGCCGACTACGCAGTTCACTTTTCGACCACAGTTACCAGCAGCACCGCCACCTACGACAACAGACGATCCTGTACGACCTCCCACCCTACGACCCCAGTTAGATGACATCAGCGAAGAGGAGGAAGTTAACTGTGATGGTTATGTAACGCGAGCAGGGCGTACAATTCACCGACCAGCTAAGTTCCTTGATCAAGTATTTTTCCTTTCATCCCCTGGGAGGGGGAGTTCTGTAGCGAGTAGATTATCCCAATAATATACTCGCTCCAAATGCATTGTTAATATTCCTGTCAACCTTTGGAGATGAATGAGGTGAGGCGTTGCCCGGGCAACACGATGAGGCGTTGCCCGGGCAACACGGTGAGGTGTTGCCCGAGCATATAAGCAGCAGAATAGCAAACATTAACTAGTCTACTTTCAAGTGTGGTCTAGAGCAGACACTTGCGAGATACTGTACCGACGCTCAGTGCGCTCAACTCACACCAAAGTATCACCTGTGTACTTCTGTATATTCGACCAAATATATATATATAGTATCTTAGTGTCTGTGTTTATTTGTCACCATACTTTACGTAACAATAGAACCGTTACAACGCTCTCAAGCCATTCTTAACACAGATGTCATAGTTGCTTTAGACCTTATCCAAGTTGTCCAAGTATAATATTACCTTTGATTTGCTATATTTATTTAGCCTGCAATTAATGCTATTTGCCCTAAGCAACCATTCATGGTCAATTTATCTTTTAGCTAAAAAGGTCACCTATAATCAGAATACATCTATTGGTTCTAATTATCTACAATCCACTACGCATTTCTTTGGACTCTTCTGTAAGGCTTTCCAAACTAATGCTTACCAATATAATAGTTCATTTTGTTATAGTGGGGATTGGATGTTCTATCCCAGTGTTATAGAATGGTGGCAGCATTGTTATAGCATAGGTGTCTGTGTGGTTGTGTAGGACAAGACACGTTATAAATAGTTGGTATACAGAAATTTGGTTTGTTATAAATGGTGGCAGCGGTGGGATTGAATGTGAGGTGATAAAGGACAAGACAAGTTGGTATAAATATATGAGTTTGGGTGGATATAAATAGGAGCTGCAACATAATTATTAATAGGCCTTCTGCAGTTCCCTTGGTTATTATTACTGTTTAAGTAATAATTTCCTTCAATATATACAAGGTTTCCTAGGGGATAAGAGAGGAAATGCACAATGTAACCACAGTGTTATTTCAAATATTACATTATTGTAGCATTGTAACAATGTAACACTTTTTAAAAATGTAATTATATTGTGTGCTTTCTGGGCAATCCTCTTGTTAGCATACCTGGAGGCAGTAAGTGAAGGACGAGCTGAACATAAGCAATATTGGTGCATCCCGATTCGCTACCACAGTGCATCTTGCACTCTTGAGGATCCACACAGGCCACCTTGTCTGTATAGAGAATCCTGGCAGCCATCCCTGGGAAGACCAGCATAAACATTGGCAGGAACTTGATGAGAGCAGCCAAGATGCAGCCAGCCTTAGCATAGGTCATGTTCTTGCTGGAGAGGGTCCTCTGCACGATAACCTGGAGGACAAATATGCAAATGTAAGCATATTTATTTGTCTTTTAGCACAGGAGCAGACAGGTTCTGACTCCTGTTAGCTGGCTGAGAGCTTTCTCTTCCCATAGCTCATGGTAAGCCTTACCCTACTAGTTTACCCTAGAGTATAGCCCACCAATTGTTTAGATACCAGGTACATAATTACTGCTGGACGAACAAGGGCAAAAGAGTTAAAGACTGGTGCCCGGTAAATCCTTCCAGGCCAGGACTCGTACCCAGACCAAATCTCTTGTGAGGCAAGGGGCGAGTGTGTTACCTGTACGTCATTAAATGTTTCTCTGGGTTAACATGGAACACCTTTGCAGTTAATATATGGAGATATTGTGGAAAAGGGAAATAAACATATCCAGTGAGAATAAAGGAAACGACAGGCCATATGGACCATATGAGGCAGTTTCTATATTTTCTTCAATTTAAACCCACTGGTTAGTGATAAGGTCAAGAAGAATGGAGAGAAACTATGTTCTGGAGATATGAGATACACCTAGTCGTTATGACCACACAGAACACTGTAGACATGAGTTCCCATTGAGAATGTCTACATGCAAATCACCCCAATTCCAGCTCAGTAAATAAAAACAATCAACAGTGACAAGATAGATGTTCGAAGATTTCTTGCAAGGAACAAGACAAACATTGCTTATCCCAATTTCACTGCCCTTAAGAATAAGCAATGTGTGCTCATTGATAATTTTTTGAAGATAAGAGAAAGGTGATTCACCTGGTCAGTACACCAGTACCAGACGCTGGAGATGGTGATGCCGAAGATCATGCCAGGCCAGGGCAGGTCTGACTCCCCGGGTTTAGCGGATCTGAAGAAGTGCATGGCGTAGGCCGGAGGCTCTCCGCAGTTGGTGGTGTTATCGAGGCGGGAGTACCTGGTCTTGTTGGGTACGGCGTAGAAGTAATCCTCCACTAAGGCGTCGTACCCGCCGACCGCATTTAACGCTTTAGAAAATTGCAAGTAGAAAATAACTGGAAATGGCTTAACAGAGGGCAAACACACAATAAGGTGACAGCCAGTTAATTAAGTCTTCACTCCCTGTCCTTTTCCCATACACGCACACTAATTTTCCCTCCCCGTTTATCATTAATCAAGTACTCTAAAAAGGATTTTGGAATAAGTATACCAGTAGACTGAAGGTTCGCTGGCTGTACATGGGATATAGAGCACAGAGAAATACACACACACACACACACACACACACACACACACACACACACACACACACAGCTCAGTACTTACACATGCCCATGAGAATACAGGCTCCAATGACCATAAGGATGGTCTGGACAAAGTCCGTCCAGATAACAGCCGAGAGACCACCAGTGATGGTAAAGATGGAGGCTATGGCCAGTAGGATGAGGATGCTGATGTACATCCACTCTGTACCCTGCTTGTTCAGCGTCTGCTGGATGAACAGTGCTCCTGCGTACAGGTCAGCCTGTGTGTACCCAGGATATTTTAAGAGTAAAATTATCAGGAAGGTTGTAATCGCATAAGTTTATAGACCAAACAATGCTAGAATATAACTCACAGCCAAAGCTTCATAGATTTAACGGTAGTCTTCCTTTAAAAGACAATTTGCAGTGAAATGTACTCAAAAAGAGCTTCAACCTACAATACAGTTGAACAGGGTGTAGGAACTATAATGAATCAACCCCAAATAAGTACATTTCTACGTTAAAATAAACCTAAATGTAAATTTCCTATCTGGGCTTTGTTTTGAATTCTTCACACACACACACACACACACACACACACACACACACACACACACACACACACACACACACACACACACACACACACACACACACACATCTACAGGCAAGAAAAATGCCACAAAAGGACTGTGTGAGCTTACGGATATCTTGGTGAAGATGGAGAGGAGGAGGGCGAGGCAGGAGAGGTAGACCCTGATCCTCTGGCCCCCGAACCTCTCCCTCAGGTACTCCGGCATGGTGTACACGCCTGAACTCATGTACACCGGCACGAACACCCATCCAAGCAGCATCAGCACGAAGATGGCCTGAAAGTGTACATTAATGATTATTTCTACGTCTCGAACTCTGTCCTCGTGCTTAAAATCACCACAATTTTGATGTTATTGGCCACAGCGTCAAAATCCCGGTGGTATATGAAGGTGAAATGCACAGCAATATTTACGCTTGCTCTGGTTCGATGGTTGGGCGAGGGACGTGTGGGGCTCAGATCAACGAAAATATTGCAAGGTTGAAATTACAGTGTTGATAAACAAGATTACAAAGCTATGCAAACCAGTGTTGCAAGACAACATGGGGTGCAGTTGCATTATCATGTGCATTACTTGCACCATGGTAGACACACCTAATATTGTGCTGTTGTCCAGCTTCGTATATCAACTTTGCAACGTTTCCTCCTGCACATCCCCCTTGTGCATCCCTTTTGAACTCTTGTGCATCTCCCCTATGCATTCCTCCTTTCCTGTGTGCATCTAAAAAAGTGGGTTTTATATGTAAATTTCTGGTGGTCCAAGAACGCATTTCTTCTTTACACCGCTGCGTCTGTGGCACATCTTTCTCCGATTTACGAACGACCGAGTTACGAACTTTCCAGAATGCATCCTGTTCGTAAGTTGTGGCCTGCCAATTTGGTTGAAACTGAAAATTTAAATGTTATCGGCATGCACCATTGCACAAATTACTTACATCTAGCTCGAAGGCCCCGATACCGATGCCCGAGGCTGCTCCCGACCCCGCCAGGCCGATGAAGTGGCCAGATCCTATGTTGCTGGCGAAGAGTGACGCGCCCACCTGGAGGAGGAGGAGGGTCAGTGTGGGCGTAGGAACGTCAGTGTAGGCGTGGGGGGGGGCATCCGTAGGGATACGAGGGCATCAATACAGGTGTGGGGGCATCAGTGTAGGCGTAAGGTACATAAGTGTATTCGTGTGTCCATCGGTGTAGGCGTGGGAGGGGGGGGGGATCAGTGAAGGTAGAAGGGCATCAGTGTGGGCGTAAGACAGGTGTGTGAGCATGCAGAACAATCTTATATTGACATGCACAGACACGTGGCCAGGTGATTGTTTATACCTGTGACACCACCTGTGGCTGGTGTGTGTACCTCCTCCACCACACAACTGCAAGAATACTGGGTTATGGGGGAGTCACCAGGCATTTATGCCTCAACTTACGAAGCCTGTACATCTTTCCTCGATCAAGACGGCTTTAAACCATCGCGACCCAAGGTTATTATTGCTAAAGGTAACCAGTAGCACTCTAGAGACCATGAACTGTTTAATAAACACAAACTAGGAGGTAAGTCTGTATCTCAGACTTACGAAGACCTAATGACTGTTGAGTGTTGTTTAGTGTTAGTCGAGAGACTGAGACTGACTGACTTACGGGTATCCAGTGCATGTTGCGGGAGGCGAGGAAGTAGCCGGAGATGCTGCCGCGTTTGGTTCTCCAGGACGACTGTGGGAGGACAAACACATCTTTTAGGTCAGTTATCCCTTCACCGCCTTCAGTCTGGACTTATTATGAGTTTACATATTGTGTAAACTCCCCCTACTTTAATGTCCTAATGTCATCAACAATTTTCCCTCTTTTTTTTTTTTTTTTAGTATTCTTCACCGTCTTCAGTCTATATGGAATCTCAAATGTTTAGTTAAAGTCCTTATTGTCATGATTTACCTAAGGGCGCTCTCTCGCTCTCTCTCGTACCTAGTACAAGAGCATCCTTGGACAACTTGTACCCAGTACAGTTTACCTAGTGGTAAAGCGCTCGGTACTCCAGCAGGTGTAAAACTTACATAATCTTGACTGTTGTGTAAGTCACACAAAAAGAAACATTCCTAGCCTGGTGATGGAGAGGACAGTCACAAGTCTACAATCTTCCTGCTTCAGTCTAATTGAGACTGGTAAACTTTAAGACCGTAAGTAAACCATCTATCATCCACTAACAAGAAATGAATGAGAAACTTCGGCCATTTCACAGCCATATGGGTGATAGGTTTGTCATCTGGCTTCCCTGATTTTATATTCCAATAAAAAAAAAGCCCGTCTACTGGCAGGACCTCATTATCTGCTACAACTTTGAAATGATGGACCTCACTATCGTCTCTTTCTGGTCTTGTTGAACACTTCATAGCACTTTATTTCTGAGAGTACCTTCCCTCTCTTTTGGAATGTGTTGATATGAGGTGGTGGAGGACGCAGATGGCGTATTGGGATGACTGTTGGGATGAACCCTATGACACAGGCACACGGTGGGAGGGTGGTGGCAGCCCCCGCACCGCGCCCTGCCTTCCACACACTTGTAGGGGTTTAGCAAGTTGAAGATATTGGCTTCAGCGTTGTGGACATGACAGCCCGTCCGACGGGTTGATGATGATGGTGGGCTGGTTTTTTTTTTACAACAGAAAACGTGCTTTCTCAAAACCGGTTTGTTTAGCTTTCAGCCCGCATACCAACTTGGCCTGCTAATAGAACGTCGCGTTTTGACGTATACTATAATAATAATAATAATAATAATAATAATAATTTTTATTTAGGTAAGGTACATACATAAAGAGATTTTACAAAGTTTGTTGGCTTTATAGATAGAGCTAGTACATACAATGCCTAAAGCCACTATTACGCAAAGCGTTTCGGGCAGAAACTACCACTATACGCTACCAAACGTCAGAAATTGTCGTACTAGAAAATGGTAGCGGCTCGCGAAGTTGACACACTGACCCGTTTTCTGTTCTGGGTCCTCTTTTAGTAGGTTAGGATAAGGGCACTTTAGTACGACGGTTTCTTGACGTTGGGAAACCTTAGGAGGACGGGTTGCGTATATACACCTCAGGTACAGCCCAGGTAGACACTAGTTGTGATTGGTTGTCAGCGAGAATACTGGGTATGCTGACACGGGTTAAAACAATGCTATACACAACCTGATTGGGGGGGGGGGTGTTTTCCAATACATTCTCACTTTCTGACGAGCGTCAAATCTGAAGTGGTTTAGCCTAGCCAAAAGCGTAGGAATCTAGGCAACCCCACTTAATCTATCGCGGGTGACGCCCATTACTCCGATAAAGCGTTGGTATTGTAGTGTTCATTTCAGTAAACCCTCGCTAAAGATATGGTGCATAAAGTGTGAGGACAGGTTAACTACCTGACTGGTAGCGATCAGTCAGGCAGGTATGGTTGACAGACGTCACAGTACGGGGAATTCGTCGTGTAAACTGACTGACGTCACAATACCGTGTGACGTAATATCAATACCTTGTTTATGTCTGCTTAAATCCAGTCGAGGTCTCTCATGGCAGTGTAATTAGGGAGCCGAGTGAGATGGTTCCTCTGTCGTCATTCCAAAGTTATACTAATTAACCCCTTTACTGTAGTATCATCCTCTTGAAGGCCAAGTCGGTCGTATCTCAAGGGTAATATTACAATCAAGGATCCCAGTCTCGATACCTAGGGTGTGCAGAAATGGTTTGGAACGTTACCTTTCACCTGGTGTACCTGTTCACCTAGCAGTAAATAGGTACCCTAGAGTTTATCAACTGGGTTGCATTTTTCGGGGTAGAGGGGGGGGGGGAGATCTTGATAGAAGCCTAGATTCTAGAAAGGGTGGGAGGGGGGGTTCATGTCCCCCCCCCCAAACAATGGGTATTTTGCCTATCTCCTCCTCCTGTGTTTCACATGTCTGTGTATTTGTTAGGTGGCGATGTTAGTAAACACGCTAAGTCTAGATAGCTGGTGTGGAAAGTTACACATGTTGGCTAAATATATGTGTAAACACCTGGCGTGCTTTTACCCCGTCCCACAGCTCCTCTCCCAAGACTAACTCAAGTGTGCAGACTTAAGTCCATGTTGTGGTGCACTGCTGGGCTTGATTAAGGCTTTTTATACTACCCGATAGCGAGTGAGGTCGCTACAGTTAGTTTATTGGTTAACCAGCTAGTTGACTTCGGTTTTCAATATACACTATTGTAAGACTAAAGTAAACATTATGTAACGGTTGTTCGTTAGTCAACGATAAAATAACTGCAGTCTACAAGATGACTACGAGGGAATGAGAGAGAGAGGACGTTCAAAACATCCCCAGGAGGGAGCTAATAGGTGAACATGACATGGAAGCATCTTGGCAAAACTTTAAGAAGGTCATCACGGAACTCCTTCAAAAATGTGTGCTAAAAAGGAGGAAGAAACGAAAAGAAACTAGATGAATGACTCACAGTAAAACAAGCATTGATAACTAAGCGAAACCTCTGGAGAACGTATAAATTAGAATGGATAAACCAATGGTTAAAAAGAGTGCTGCTAAATGGGAATGAATCTAACTGAAAAAATGTGGAAAGTGGGGGGGGGGGTACCACAGGGGTCCATTTTAGGGCCAACCCTTTTTGTCATATACATCAGTGACATAGATGAGAATATTACAGACCACATCAATAATTTTTTTTTTTTTTGAGATATATACAAGAGTTGTTACATTCTTGTACAGCCACTAGTACGCGTAGCGTTTCGGGCAAGTCCTTAATCCTATGGTCCCTGGAATACGATCCACTGCCGCGAAGAATTGTTTTTTCATCCAAGTACACATTTTCCTGTTGCGTTAAACAGAGGCTACAGTTAAGGAATTGCGCCCAGTAAATCCTCCCCGGCCAGGATACGAACCCATGACAAAGCGCTCGCGGAACGCCAGGCGAGTGTCTTACCACTACACCACGGAGACTGTGACTGGTACAGTCAAATTTGCAATGGTACAAAGATTTATGGTAAAGTGGGAAATAATAATGATGTTGAAGCCTTACAAAGAGATCTACAGGAACTCTACAAACCTAAACCTAGCCTTACCACTTGGGCTGAACGGTAAAGCGACAGTCTCCCTTCATGCAGGTCGGCGTTCAATCCCCGACCGTCCAAGTGGTTGGGCACCATTCTTTCCCCCCGTCCCATCGCCAATCCTTATCCTGACCCCTTCTCAGTCCTATATAGTTGCAGTGGCTTGGCGCTTTACCATGATAGTTCCCTTCCACAAATTGTCAGATAACTGGCCAATGCTTTTTAATATTAACAAATGCAAGACCCTGCATGTGGGGCATAACAACCCACGCCACAACCACCAAATTAATAACATTACATTACAGCAGATTGATGAAAAAATGTACCTTAGAGTCAAACTTCACTCAATGGAACTTACACAGCAGTCAAAAAGGCTGACCAAACACTTTGAATAATCAAGCGTACCTTCGACTTCAAGGAAAAGAAGGTAGTGACTCAATTGTATAAATCTCTGGTGCGGCGCCATTTGGATTACTGTATCCAAGCATGGAGGCCATCTCCAGAAGGATGTACCTGCTCTGAAGAAAGTGCAACACCGGGCAACAAAAATCACTCCTGAGCTAAGTCAACTCATGGATCAGGAATGGTTGAAGGCCACAGAGCTAACACCACCACAAACCAGGCACGACAGGGCGGATCTCATAGAAATTTGTAAAATACTGTACTGAACAATTTGGAGAATGTTGATCCGGAAAATTTCTTCAAAAGGTCAGATGTAACACAAACAAGGAGCAACGGTTTCAAGCTCAACAAGCCACAGTGTAGGACTGATATCAGGAGATGCTTTTTCACTCACAGGGTTATTAACTCGTGGAACGGCCTACCCGCCGAAGGCGTAAATGCCAAAACTCTGTTAACTTTTAAATGTTCAACTGGAAAAGCTTATCAAGGCAAATGGGGGGGACATTCGACAAGCCGCCGGCTTCCTGTCCTCGTCGAGGCTACTAGTGTTAGTGGCTTTCAGGTAAACTCGGGTAACCAAATATTTATAAGTTTATAATTACAATACTACTGTACTTTAAACAGTAATATTTACAGTAAAACTTGTAGTGAAATTATTGTACAATTACCAGTATAATCCTGGACGTAAGTTCGAACCCTCATTATGGCCCTTGTGGATTTATAACAGCATATATTCTCTGTATCAATATAGTTGGAATGATTAGGTTGCGTGTGCGACATTCACCGGTGGTCTTTCAACTAATTATGGAATAAAAGAGGACAATACACTACGAGCGTAGTTAACTACGATACACAAGATAATTAATACCACTGACAATTAGGTTGGAGAGTTGCTGTCTATATACACCAGTTGTGATTGCAAAAGACGACGGCATTAACACATATTCAGGCCACAGACTGTTCAGCAAGGATATGGAACGTACTTTTTCTGTTTCAAACGGCGGGGCCTAGGAGGTGAAGCTCGATCCTTAACAGTACACACCAACAGGAAAATTTACTTACAATTAATCCCACTGCGAGCACGAACACGAAGTAGAGGACCAAGACAAGTATATCCTCCCATTGGAGACGCATTCTTTCATCCCCTGGAGCCATGTCGCTTTCTCAGAGAGCGCGCGCTAGGTGAGAATCACAAGGGTAGGAGCAGCAGCGACCCTCCCACCGCGACTACCTGAAGGATACTGACGTTTAGAGCTCACATGACCGGGATATATAACCTCTTCTCGGTGTATATACATTCAGGTGTGTGCCTCACTTCTCGGTGTAGCAGCACACCTACAGCCCCGCTCCTGTGCCACTACGGGCTCACCATAGCCCGTGCTATATACACAAAGGTGCCTCACTTCTCGGTTAATAGTTCTCGGTAAACTATTAATTTAGTTAGGTGGGCCCGAGAAAGAAAGGAGCAAATAAACATAACTTTTCCTAGGCCTACAGGTTCATGGAGTTTCGTGCCTTGTTTAAATAATTACTAGCTTTTCATCAGCCTAATATATAATACATGTACTAAATTGGGAGTAAGATTGCATATATTAGGCTTGGGAGTGGTTATTTAGGCCTGCGACGGCTTGGGTATATAATGTTAGGATGCTTCAGTTTTTGCTTTGTCCATTAGAGTTCCAGTAGAGCAATTTTTTTTTTTTTTTTTTTTGCGAGTACCACAGTTACTTTTTGCACGATCCATCCATATAGTACCTATACGTACTATCATTTCTGGAGGCCGGTTTTGAATATCGGCGAATATTTCATTCAATTAGGCACTAGGTGACTCGAATCGCCGACACCATGGTGGCTTTAGGTATTGTATGTACTATCTCTATCTTTAAATCCATCATTATATATGTAACTCAATTAATGTACCTTTACCTGAATAATCTGAATGTAAACTGATGTGCTAAATTGTCCGAGCCTTAACCGATTATTATTAATATCTTTATTGACAAAATTAATTACAATTTTGCCTAATCTGAGGATTTTGATAGTCTTATTAAAGTGAGGATAATGCTGGTATTCACTGTCACGCAGGACAGAGGGTCATACACAAGACAATAGGTCTAAACTGTAGGCTGAAGCACATGTACATCATGGTTACAATCAATGTTTTAATGTATGGATCCTTAACCGAGGACTCACGAATAGAAAACGGGACATCGCGTCAATTCTGCGAGCCCCTGTGATTTTTGTTACATCAGTTTTTGGCCTTTAGGGGATCTATACGTCGTAATATGGTGTACTGCCTGTGAGGACGGGGCGAAAAATTGCGGCTCACAAAAATCCGTTTTCTATGCGTCGTTTCTGGTTAGGTTAGGACTGTATTTTTTGACAAATCCAACTTCAAGAAGCATTCATCAATTCGAATATATTGTGTATTAAAAACAGGTTTGTCTTCATATAAATTCATATAAAAGTTCTATGTATAGTTAGGCGTAGGTTAGAGCCTAACTACTAACTTGAGTCTTAGATTAAGTTAGAGCCTAATTAAACACTGTTACGGAATGCCTTATCGTGTTATTGCGTCGCATAAAAGAGGCACTGTTATTTAATAGTAATACTTTCAATATTACAGGGAGGTTAACGACCGTGAAGGTCGTTAACCGTCAGCACGGTGTGGCTCGTCTGGTGGCGGGAATTCTGTTAGCCAATCAGAATCACCGGGCGGGGCAATGAGTGCTGGTCGGAGAATGAACTGAGGAGTACTCTACTCACTCCCATTCGGTCGACATGCCGTCGTCGTGTGTGTGTGTGTGTGTGACCAGTTTGCCCCAACTGTGACAGCGTGTTCCACATCTCCAGCGACACGGACCTTAGGACGTAGCGGCATGGTCGACTCCGTATGACGTCCTTGAAATCTACCGCTGTTCTGGATTCATTGGACCCAGTCCGAAAAGTAGATGGTCCTTAAGAATTGAATCGACTGACGAGTGGCGGCCATCTCATTGGCATATACATAAGGGTTTGGTGTATATATTACTGTACATAAAAGTAGTGTCTATATATAATATATATGTATAACTGTACATATAATGTACACCCGTGTTTTAGTGATATAGCTGAATATATCCATAGGTCTTCTCCAAAATTATTTCTTGTCCTCAGTCAGATCTCGGAGAATTAAGTGTGTCGCACGTGACAATAGGTCATGCTGAGACTGACACCTGGAAAAAATCAAAGTATCCAGCCCGTCCTCCAAACAGATACAAAAGTGATTCCATGCACCCGCCAAACCCCCTGTTTATGAATGAAAAGCGGTTTACACACGACTCTCAACTGCTGATGTTCGAACATATCCGGAACAAGTGTTTCACTTACGAATTTTGTTCGAATCACAACGCTATAAATGCTTCACCCACGTACTTCAAATACAAATAATCGCCAACAGAACCTAAACACTTAACTTAACCTATGCCTATATATGCACAATATGCTAATATATTATAATATTAATTTATACTTGAGACAATTCCCGTTTTGAATGAACAGCATATTAAAATTTATGAATGCGTCTGTGGGGTCGACCGCTGCATGTAATGGACTTAGAGTCGAGGACGGGTTGAAGTATCTAGTTGGATTACAAAGCATAAAAGCACTTACAGAACAAACCTATTTTAAATGTGTTGGGTTTTCGACAGTTCGATCCCAACAACACCTAGAGATTAGGTGTTTAGGATCTGTTGGTGGTTATTTGCATTTGTAGTACTTGGGTGAAGCTTACAGAGCTGCGATTCAAACAGAAGTCATCAGGGAAGCACTATTCGAGAAATGTTCGAACGTCATCATTTGTAAGTCGTGTGAAACAGCCCATCCTCCGACTAGACAGTACGTTTTAATACTAAATGTAATAAGTACAATTCTGACAATCGGCATAGTACATAAATACACTTAATCGCCAGCATCGGACAAAAATATTGTGAATATTAAAGTTTACCTGAAAAACTGTATAGAAATCACGACCTAACCTTGGGAGTGTAGGAGGACAAGCATGTAAATAGCATTTATTGCTTCTTAATTACAATTAGAACTTAACCTATAACTATATTGATATTACAATTTTATAAAACATAACTAAAGTCTTTCAATAAATTATAAAGCAACTAAAGATATTTTCAAATTTTGTATAAAATCTCTATTGTTTAATAAAACTAAAAAAAAAAATTCTTTGTTTAAAACTTGAGTATATAGATTTGAACATGAAAACTTCAACCTAAAAATTTTAAGTGTAGTAACAGAAAATGAAAATATATAGGGAGGTAAATGTAACAGCGCAATTGTTCATGAACTATGCAGAAATGTACTTATTATATTTAGTATTAAAACCAACCGTCTGTTCGGAGGAAGGGTTGTGTGTAAACCGTTTTTCATTCATAAACGGGGGTTTGGCGGCTGGATTAACGAGCCTGTGATGATGATGACGCGCTGCCAAAGGCAATTACTGGGAAGAACGGATTTCTATAAAATATTAAGCTCGCAGTATTTTGTTCGTTTCCTTCAATTGAACTTCAATTCCGAACATGTTTAAGAATAAAGATGTTTAAAAACATTGGAACATAGTGCGCTTCGGTGTGTGTTCTTTGGCTAGTATATGATCTTCTGAAGGTGGTATATACCTAGGCTAGCAGGTAGGTTCCTGAAGGTGGTATATACCTAGGCTAGCAGGTAGGTTCCTGAAGGTGGTATATACCTAGGCTAGCAGGTAGGTTCCTGAAGGTGGTATATACCTAGGCTAGCAGGTAGGTTCCCTAAGAGTTCGTGGTGCACAATAAACTACCGCTCACACGAAGAGCATGCATGAGGTGCACAGTAAACTAGCCAAGAATTAAATCAGAATTCTTGGAATGTATTATATGCCCACGCAAGCACATGAAAAAATGGTTTCCCATTGTCAGAGACAAGACGCCAGCTAGAATTATCGAGGCCCATTTAGGCCAACCGGCTGCTAACCCAGGATGCAACCCCACAACAGTTGCCTAACTCCAAGGTATACCTATTTACTGCTAGGTAAAGAGAGGAATTAGATGTAAAGCGACGTGTTCAAATGTGCTGCCCTACCCGGGAATCGAATCCGGGACCACTTGGTTGGGAGCAGACTGTTCTTCAGTTAAGGAATATTGATCATTAGCAGGAAAAATTGTGATCATTCTTATATCAAAGACGATAACATAGACATCAATTAAAATGAACTTTTCCCTAAAATATAAATTCACACTAATTAAAAGCCCGGAAATGTTTCTATATTTATTGAGAATGTTTCATGTTTATATTGTGGAAAAACATATATATATCTAATGAGGTATAATATACGGTAATCCTAAATACACTGCACAGTGAAATATTGGCATGATTCAGTTCTCAATAAATTGTTTTTTTTAATTTATTATCTTAGTCACTTAAGTGTAACATAATGCTAAAAACATTGTCCATATAAATTATATTTATATACAGGAATCTATATATTCAAAATATTTATATACAAAACATGAGATACAAATATGACCAACTAAATACTAAAACAATCAATGGACAGTTCAACGACTTCACACAAAGATATTGGACTTAAAGCCGACTTACTTTGTGAAAAAAACATATATAACCCCAAGCAGGGTGTTATATGTAGTGAACAAATGAATTAATATAGTTTTCAAACATTAAATGTTATTCTCACAGATAATTTACGAATATAGGTAAAGACCTTCCATATTTTCAAAGAATCTCCTCCCTAACGCAGATATATTCAAACCCGCACATGCGCAAACGAACCAGGCGCCCCTTCATTGCTGCCGCTTTCAAAACATAGGACATATATTCATAAACCTTATGTCACTTGTTCACCATGTATAACAACCCCTGACTGGGGCATTTATATCTTTACATGAAAGGATCCGTTCCTTAGACATTTATGTCTACCACCAGACGAGGTGGTCACCTCGTGGACGGTTATTACAACCACTTACTGATCTATAACCAGCATATCCTCCTGTTTTGGTAGCACTTATAGTAACGATGAGGACCGTAGTATATTTACCGACCTACAACGAAATTAGAAATCTGAACTATTGAATTGGACAAATCTGAAAACTATTTTTTTATTTGTGTTGCTTTGGGAAACTAAACTAAGCTATCGTAGGCCTAATACACTAATAGGCCTAATAATAATAGGTCTGAGATGTTATAATAGGCCTAGGAATATTAAAGTTTGCTTTTTAGCTTTATTTATTTTAAAAGCATACCTTACTAAGCTAAGTACGTACGAATTCGTGACTATTGACGATCGTCCCAATAGGTACTATCCAAATAGGAAGATAATTGGTTGGTATTGTGTCCTGAACAAAGTTCAGAGTTAAAGTGAACCCTCAGTGTATATGCACCGAGAAATGGGAAATACACATTTCTGTATATCTATATCCCCTTGATCCTGTTATATACCGACATTTAAAATGTGCACTGTCTACCTTTTAAAAACAATTGAACACGTTATGGCATTCGAATTTTATGAATCAAGTTTTTTACCTTTATGCATCACCCTTTTACAGCCTACCAAGACCTGTTAGTGGTATGTATCCCGACATACAACGACACATCGCATACACATTTGATAATTGTTCGTACATACACATAGATAATTGTTCGGTATCATAACTTATTCTAAGTGAGTTATCATACTGCTGTGTTAGTCACAACCCATCCAGGATGCTGAAATGCATATAACATACACATTATGTCATGTTGCCATGGGCTGTTGCACATCATGCATGGCTTGATGTGTTTGTAAGGCCTATAGCAACCGTAGTAGGGTTAGTAAGTCAAAGTAGGCTTATACATAAGCGGTTGATTTGGCCCTAAATTTCATTCAAGCTCTGGAGGCTAAAGCCACCAACAAAAGCCTATTGACCAACCAGCAAGTATATTTTCGTCCTGAATATAATCCAGGACTCGGTGAGCATACACAAAGACACGAGGTATACTCGTTCATTGTATATATCTTGTAGAATATACAACTCGTCATATTCATGACACATTCTTTACATATAATGTCGTACTCCTCACTATAATGTATGTTGTCGTCCTATAATGAAATGATTGTTAAAATGCGTTGAATTTCACTAATAGTCAGAATGCATTTTAATCATTACATATTTTGTAGGTAGTTTGGACGCAGTAGAGCTAATTTACTCATTTCCTCATCTTTAGGGTGTATGAGGTACGTGAGTGACTGGTGCACTGCGTCTAGGCGTAGAATTCCACAGCGCGCTGCCTCTAGGCGTAGAATCCCCAGAGGAAGCCAGCCAGCGTCATGACAAGGATAGCCGTCCCGTCCACAATACTGCAAGAGTATAAAACATTGATCGTCACTGCAAGTCTGATAGATAAGTTAAATTATGACGTTGCAATCATTCCACTTTGACAGACATTAAACATGTGACTCACTAAACTGCACAGCTGGTGCTTCGTAAATGTTATTTATAAGTCGTAAAATGAAAGACAATATAGATTTGTTTGTCGCAATTGTGATTATAAAAAACTTAAAATATAATATTTTTGCTCTTAAATCAGAAAAATTAGTCTGAGTTTTGTCTGAAATAAAAATTAAATCGGATTATATATAATGTATATTTATGTATGTGTGTATGTGTAATATATATATATATATATATATATAATATTTATATATATATATATATATATATATATATATATATATATATATATATATATATATATATATATGCGAACAAGCCTGAATGGTCCCCAGGACTATATATGCGAGATATATTATATATATATATATATATATATATAATATATCTCGCATATATAGTCCTGGGGACCATTCAGGCTTGTTCGCATATATATATATATATATATATATATATATATATATATATATATATATATATATATATATATATATAAAATATATACGAACAAGCCTGAATGGTCCCCAGGACTATATGTAACTGAAAACTCACACCCCAGAAGTGACTCGAACCCATACTGCCATGAGCACTCTGCTGGCGTACAGGATCCCTGTACATGCCTATGCATGTACAGGGATCCTGTACATGCATATAATTGCATACTTACTTCGTCCAAGGTCTGTTTTCCTCCAGGAACTCTGCTGCCTTTCTGGCCTTCTCCTCTGGAGTGTCTTCATCAGCCGGGGGGTCTTGAGGGGTTCCTATGTTCTGCGTCTCGACCCCACACACGCAGTTAATACACCTCCTCCAAGAAGGCAGGTCTGGCGGACACGCAAATACACTTTTAACCTCAATGACAAAGGATTGTTACAGTAAATTCATTCGTTTTACTCTTCTCAATAAAGACTAATAATAATTCGTTAATAGGATAGGGAATGGAAATCGTTAGTAAATCTCTACCTCCCGTGGCTTGACTTCTAGCTGTGTGGATGATATTTTCATCGGCTCTAGGTTGAAGTTCGATTTTGTCGCCTATGAAGTTCTTCTCATTCCTCCATTCCCTGATGGACACTCGGACCTCTTGACTGTGGCGGCTGCTGAAGGTTAGCCGGTGTAGCTGAGGTGGGGAAAAAGATTAAAACTGAGTCGTTTTAAGAACATGGAGTGGCGGGGGTGTAGACTTTCTTGCCCTCCCGTCATATGCTGATGAATGTCATGTTTATTATACTTCTCGTTTCCCCCTTTTATCGCTTTCTTTTTCTCTCGCTTTCTCTCGTCGGCGTTCGATCCCCGATGGTCCAAGTGATTGGGCACCGTTCCTTTACCACAACTTTATATCCCAGTTCCTTAAGTGTCGTATCCCTTTCAAGTGTTATAGTCATACTAGCCTAGTTCTCTGTTCTGCTAATTACCTTACCTCCTCACTTCTCTCTCTCTCTCTCTCTCTCTCTCTCTCTCTCTCTCTCTCTCTCTCTCTCTCTCTCTCTCTCTCTCTCTCTCTCTCTCTCTCTCTCTCATTGCAACTTACACATTTCTTGGGTATGGGTTCGGTGAGGTAGGATACAGCCACGGTCACCATCATGACGATTACGAACAAAATACACCCAAAGTGGAGATAGTGAACGTTCCCCACGATAATCTTGATCCACTCGGGCCGATGGTCCTTATTTTCATCTGTAAAAGAAACAAATTTTATTTAGCACACGTATATACGCATCATAATTATAAGTATCATTTTGTTGAGGCTCGCGCGCACACTAATCAAACTTAAAATGTTGATGTAGGCTTTCAGAATGATATATTTTGAACCTCACCTTGGTAATGTTCAAGCCTTTTTTTTCCTAAAGTTATATGTCAATATATAGTCAAAATACCTCCACATCCGGGGACGACAAAGGCGTACTCCAGCACGAAGCGTATTAGGCCAATTACCAACCCGACGAAAAGGCCCCAGAAGGCTCCCTGCAAGGAGGACATTTTATCATCAGCAACGCCAACTTCCCGCGCTTTTAAAATAATTACGGTTTACATGAGCCATGAACTACAGTACGGTAATTATTTGATTTCTTTTGTAGAGCATTATTAGGGTAATTGGTTTCAGATATAACTGCAGGATTCGTCTAGTCGTTTGAGAAATATAAATATTTCTTGAGAGATTTCTAAGGACCTTTTAGTCCATGTAATAATTTAAATAGCATTTGTAGATCTTTGGCCTCGGGTATAATTTAGTAAATGCAGATTCAGCTGCATTAGGCATTTACACGAATGGACTAATGTATTGTGCAAAATGAAGTAGCTAGGCTATTGATGTCTCTTAGAGGTTCATTGGAGTAGTTAGGCTATTGATCCGACTTACAGGTTCGTTGGTTCGTTCCCAGAAGATTGCCAGGAGGTAGATGGCGCAGATGGGAGGCGACAAGAAGGAAGATATACTCTGGATGTAAACAAACAATTGAGAGTTTGCGGAATTTCTGTGGGACAACAGACGCTCAAATGAGTGTTTTTAGAGTGGAAAATATTTCGGTAACATTGTATCTTGTACACAAATTGTAATTATTGATTTAACATTGTTATTTTTAGATAGTGATATAGAGCTCACTGGATGACGGGGATCCAGATGACGGACACCACTACCATCACCAACACGAACACTCGACCCACGATCAACAGTTCCACGTCCGTCGCTTTCCTGTGAATCCTCGTCCAGATGTCGATGGTGAAAATGGTGGAGGAGGAGTTGAAGATGGAGGTGAGAGAGGACATGAGGGCTGCCATCATCACTGCAAGCATCAGCCCGGACAGTCCTGGAGGCGAGAGAGAACATGAGGGCAAACATCATCACTGCAAGCATCAGCCCGGACAGTTCTGGAGGTGAGAGAGAACATGAGGGCAAACATCATCACTGCAAGCATCAGCCCGGACAGTTCTGGAGGTGAGAGAGAACATGAGGGCTAACATCATCACTGCAAGCATCAGCCCGGACAGTCCTGGAGGTGAGAGAGAACATGAGGGCTGCCATCATCACTGCAAGCATCAGCCCGGACAGTCCTGGAGGTGAGAGAGAACATGAGGGCTGACATCATCTTCACTTAACAATAAACAGAAAAAGGTAAGCTTTTGACGTGAATTCATTTACACTGCCCATGACGCTGGCTTCAATATTGAATGAAAATTAACGTCCGCATGACTCGAGTTAGAAATTTGATGGGATAATTTGTGTAATTCTTCGTTTGCTTTAGTTTTAATCGTGAAATAAAGTGAGAAAACTTCATAAAATATATACAGGATCTTGTACATGTGAATGACTTGTGTAGAATACAGAAATACAATATTTGTGAAGTATGTTGATGTGCATAAACTAACCTGTAGGCAGCAGGTTAAGAACGAGCTGAACGTAGGCAATATTAGTGCATCCGGTTGAACTGCCACAGTACTTCTCGCACTCATGTGGGTCGACACAGGCCACCTTGTCAGTGTAGAGGATCCTTGAGGCCATTCCTGGGAACACCAGGATGAACAACGGCAGGAACTTGAGCACAGCGGCCAAGATGCACCCGGCCTTAGCGTGGGTCATGTTCTTGCTCGAGAGGGTCCTCTGCACTATGACCTGGTAAACAATAATCCCCACTTGCTCACCTGACATTTATATACATATATATAATATATATCCTAGTACACGCTCTGAGATCAGAGTTAAAGATGTGTAACATTCTTTATTTTCAAAAGCCTGTTCGCGCGCATGATTAGCAAGCAATACAGTTTAATTCCAATCGACTAACTTTGATCTTTAGGCAGAAAAGAAACCTACAGCGTGGAGTGATAGGTAAAATGTGTATCGGAAAGTGGGAGGAGAAGGGAGAGGGGAAATGCCTGAACGTGACTTAACTCCTTTTTTATATAGCATTTCCGACAACAACAAGTGAAATGTAGTCCAGTAGGTGCGAACATTAATCTTTTTTCATGGGTAGGTATAATTTTTTTGTTTTGCTTATATGTGGCAAAAGTTTCCAACCAGTTGTATATTAACTGACTTTTAATATATAAAACATATTTCTTTTTCTCGAGAAATAATAGGAAAACATTCTCCTTCTAAATTTCTGATTAAATCAAGGGAAGGCAATGTTGATATGGCAATCAACCTGTCACATTTGCCTCTAATGGGTTGTTAAAGAAATGTGTGTAAGTTGTATGCCTCAATATACACCGAAATAATTGATTCATTATAACACAAGAATTGATAACACAAGAGTTGGAAGAATGGCCTTGTAGCCTAGTCCTGTATTTCTATCAAATTGTATGATTTTAATGAAGTCGTGATTTAAAGCGTCCCAATGAGAGTTTATAAGACCAAAATGTGCAGAATTTTCATGTTACAATATGGTAATTTATTAAAAAAAAGTTTTACTTACATTGTATATATACAGTATACATGTTAATACACTAATGAAGATGGGTAATGTATTTTAAGATGGAGAGGTACGGTAAATTTCCTTAGTGTAGGAAATTTTGCAATAACAAAAGTTTTAAAGAGAAACTGTTATATGTAAACAAAAACCAATATCTACAAACTCCAGCAAAACATACACAGTAACGCAAAGCCCCAAACAACAGTAACGCAAAGCCCCAAACTTCAGTAACAACGATGTTAATTGTACAGTATTAGAAGGCAGGCAACCTGTCCTTTCCACTAATAATTTGCATTTTCACGTCCAAATCCCCCAACGAACAAAATAGGATGTACTATAAATCATAGCGGACATTCACTTTTTCTAAGTGTTGGTTAGGTTAGGTTAGGTTCGACCAATTTAGAACATCATTTTTGTGACGTTGTGATCACTCGAAAGGACCTGATTGAAGATGACGAAACTAACCATTAGATACGTATAGGTTCCTCAGATTATAATTGATGTCCAGCTATGTGAATGTTCATACGACTTTTACTCAAATATCTGATCATTATACATAATATGTTACGGAATGCCTTATCGTGTTATTGCGTCGCATAAAAAAATGGCACTGTTATTTAATAGTAATACTTTAAATATTACAGGGAGGTTAACGACCGTGAAGGTCGTTAACGGTCAGCACGGTGTGGCTCGTCTGGTGGCGGGAATTCTGTTAGCCAATCAGAATCACCAGGCAAGGCAATGAGTGTTGGTCAGAGCATGAACTGAGGAGTACTCTACTCGATCCCATTCGTTCGACATGCCGTCGTCGTGTGTGTATGTGACCAGTTTGCCCCAACTGTGACAGCGTGTTCCACATCTCCAGCGACACGGACCTTAGGACGTAGTGGCATGGTCGACTCCGTATGACGTCCTTGAAATCTACCGCTGTTCTGGATTATTGGACCCAGTCCGAAAAGTAGATGGTCCTTAAAAGTTGAATCGACTGACGAGTAGCGGCCATCTTATTGGCATATACATAGTGTTGTGGTGTATATATTACTGTACATACAAGTACAGTGTCTTAGTATATATATATATCTTTAACTGTACATATAATGTACCGCCGTGTTTTAGTGATATAGATGAATATATCCATAGGTCTTCTCCAAAATTATTTCTTGTCCTCGGTCAGATCTCAGAGAATTAAGTGTGTCACACCTGACAATAGGTCATGCTGAGACTGACACCTGGAAAAATCAAAGTATCCAGTTGGATTACACAGCATAAAAGCACTTACAGCACAAACCTATTTTAAATGTATTGGGATTTCGACAATTCGATCCCAACACCTCACAATAATGAAGTTTTAGAGACACTCATAGCATATCACTAGTATAATATACCCGTGTATAAGAGTTTGTTAGGTTAGTTGATTTATTATGCACCCCATACCCATCTTGTGGGCGGTAGTGGAAAGGGTTAGAGGCACATAATGCGCTCAGGGACTGAACCCCACAAAGAGATATCATTTTTATATAAGGCATTGCGGTTGACAATGGTCGTAGGTTAGCGCCCCACTCACTGCCCTGGTGGATTTTCTGATAGATATATATATCTATCTCACTTTGGTGTCATTTCTCTGTGTACTTGTGTATAATTAGAGCACGTCCATAGTCTACATCAGTTAGCACAAGATCATTAGCATAACACACTAATTAGTATAATTAGTAGAGCACGTCTGGGATACTTTGGTAAGAGTTTTAGATATACCTGGTCGGTACACCAGTACCAGATGGAGCCGAGGGCGGAGCCGAACACCACACCCGGCCAGGGCAGGTCGGACCCTGTGATGGGGCGGAAGAGATTCATGGCATAGGCTGGGGGTATACTGTTAGGGCAGACCTCGCCGTTCTTGTCGTAGATGACCTTGGATGGCACGGCGTGGAAGTAGTCTGTGACCATCCTGTCGTAGCCCCCCACCTCGCTGATGGCTACAGGAGATATGACAGTGACGTGCGTATGTGGAGTTACAGAAAACGGGAGAAAAAGTTTGTTTCTGAGTCGGGACATGTATGAAGTATCCAGGACATGTAGCGGGACATATATATAAAAAGTATCTAGGACATGCAGACATGTTGTGTTCTGGACATTTAGGAAGCGTTTTTTTTTTCGGAACAGCGACAGCCGAAGGTGCATTATTCATTTTACAGCCGAGAAGTGTTTGGCATGGTTATTCAACATTAGCACTGACGTGTGTCGAGGGGACTTCCTAAATATATACACAATAAGCAATAAGCAGACAATATCATCGAAAAGATAACGTAATCTAATGAAAACAAAATTATAAACCCAGAAATGCTTATAGAAACCCATACACAAACTGTGAAGACGTTCACGCCCTCATGTCGGCCCTGCCAAACTAGACAGCAAATCCTCAGCAAAGCTCTCCTTCTACTGAACCCAAGACTATGAAACATTCACCTGGTCAGTACACCAGTACCAGATGCCGGAGATGGTGATGCCGAAGATCATGCCAGGCCAGGGCAGGTCTGACTCCCCGGGTTTAGCGGATCTGAAGAAGTGCATGGCGTAGGCCGGAGGCTCTCCGCAGTTGGTGGTGTTATCGAAGAAGGAGTACCTGGTGATGTTGGGTACGGCGTAGAAGTAATCCTCCGTCAGCGCCTCGTACCCGCCGACGGCACTGAAGGCTTCGGAGAACCGCGCCCAGAGGTGTGTTAGTAAGGTTAGCATGAAAACTAGATTTGTTTGCAACTAGGGACATTAGTAAAGTAGCGTTATGAATAGTAATGCTTTTATTGAATAGTTGCATTGTATTAGCTGTGAACGTTAGGTGGCTATTTTAAGAACACAAACTAATAAGTTATGTGGTTATGTGCCAAAGTCTTCTGATTGATGACATTATTTAGGTTATAAATACAATGTTAGTGTTACAACCAGTAAAGTAAGGCCAGAAGCTAACATGAATTAGATTGGCGACTGTGATCATCATTTCGCTTGTTAGGGCCGTTGTCTGTGGCATTAGTGTTGACGGAGTTAGGGGTGTATGTATGGCTTGAGGTACAAATTGTTGGTCTTATAAACACTTGGCAATAACAGACAATACGCGATGAGCCGAAGCTAGGCTGCAAACTGTTTAATAGAACATTTAACACACACACACACACACACACACACACAGAGGGAGACTTGATAGCTGAGGGGACAGCGCTCTGGACTCGTAATCCTAGGGTCTGGGTTCGATCCCCGGTGATGGCAGAAACAAAATAGGCAGAGTTTATTTCACCCTGATGCTCCTGTTACCTAGCAGTAAATAGGTACCTGGGAGTTACAGCTGCTACGGGCTGCTTCTTTGGGATGTGTGTGCGCGCGTGTGTGTCAATATATATGTTGTTGACATAAGAGGAAAAATAGATTGGTTAGAAAGGCGGGGGCCAAGAGCTAATAGCTCGATCCTACAAACACAAATAATAAATACAAAAATTCAGTACTTACACATGCCCATGAGAATACAGGCGCCAACGACCATAAGGATGGTCTGGACAAAGTCCGTCCAGATAACAGCCGAGAGACCACCAGTGATGGTAAAGATGGAGGCTATGGCCAGTAGGATGAGGATGCTGATGTACATCCACTCTGTACCCTGCTTGTTCAGCGTCTGCTGGATGAACAGTGCTCCTGCGTACAGGTCAGCCTGTGTGTACCCAGGATATTTTAAGAGTAAAATTATCAGAAGGTTGTAATCGCATAAGTTTATAGGTCATCAAGCAATGCTAGAATAAAACTCACAGCCAAAGCTTCATAGATTTAACGGTAGTCTTCCTTTAAAAGACAATTTGCAGTGAAATGTACTCAAAAAGAGCTTCAACCTACAATACAGTTGAACAGGGTGTAGGAACTATAATGAATCAACCCCAAATAAGTACATTTCTACGTTAAAATAAACCTAAATGTAAATTTCCTATCTGGGCTTTGTTTTTAATTACACACACACACACACACACACCACACCACACCACACCACACCACACCACACCACACCACACACACATATCTACAGGCAAGAAAAATGCCACAAAAGGACTGTGTGAGCTTACGGATATCTTGGTGAAGATGGAGAGGAGGAGGGCGAGGCAGGAGAGGTAGACCCTGATCCTCTGGCCCCCGAACCTCTCCCTTAGGTACTCCGGCATGGTGTACACGCCTGAACTCATGTACACCGGCACGAACACCCATCCAAGCAGCATCAGCACGAAGATGGCCTGAAAGTACACAGAACGTTACTTTTGTGCTTAACAAACCACTCCCGAAGCATAGTTGGAGTGGTTGACCACTTTTCCCTGAACACCAGTGCTTAACAAACCTTCCAGTGTTCAGGTCATCATCATCACACTGGGCTGGCCAGGGCAGGTCTGACACTTGTCTTTTCTCAGGGATATATACACCAAGCGATGTATGTGACTTCTCGGTCTATATACATTATGGATTTAATTCTGGACACTGTCCGGAACTAAAGTATACTTGCTAGTTGGTCAGTGAACATTAGTGTGGCCTTACCCTCTAGATATTGATAATAAAGTGTCCTCTCCTAACCTAACAGCCTAAGCCAGATGATAAAAAACAGAAAACTGGACAGTACGCCACTTTCGCGCGCCGCTTCCGTTTACTAATACGACAATTTTTGGCCGTAGCCCATACGAGTGAAAAGCGACGTTATTTGTAAGAGGACAGGTTGTATGCTGGCGCACACACAAGCTTCTATGGTATTTATTTTATAAGAGGGAATAGAGAGCTTTGGTCAACACTGAATGATACCATTATAAAGCAACAGGTAGGCCTACTCAGGCCTTTTGGTTTAATATTGATTATTGGATATTCACAAATATAATGCTAAACTTTATTTTTATATAAATATAATTCTTGGTTCATTTTTTTAGATTTAAAAATATAAAATCCTAGAGGTTGCAAAATCCGTTGGTAAATATTAATACAATTTAGAAAACGGGAACTTTGCAAGGCAGACTTACGTTGAGTTCGAAGGCGCCGATCCCGATGCCAGAGGCAGCGCCGGACCCTGATAACCCGATGAAGTGGCCAGATCCGATGTTGCTGGCGAAGAGTGACGCGCCCACCTGGAGGAGGGAGGGAGGTGGGGTCAGGAGAAGCTTTATTGGAGGCGTAGGAGCATCAATGTGGCACGGGAGACATCTCCCGTCACGCAGGGTGCAGTCGCACCTCCACAGATCTCCAGTATCATCTATTGATACTGGAAATGGCTCAAAAGGACCACCACTTATGGGCTATTCATGCCCAAGCCATCTTTTGGGTGGCTTAATCTTCTCTCTCTCTCTTATCAATGTGGGCTTAAGAACATCAACGGGGACCTCAGTGTAGGCGTAGAAGCATCAGTGTGAAACATTAATATGTACATCAGTTATCACTCTAAGACAGAACAAATATGTTAAAAGGAAGAGTGAAGCATGTATGATAAACTTACTGCGTACATATTGACTTGATCTAATCACTATAAGCGTAATCTAATGAGCTGCTTTGCAACTTATCTAACATATCAGCCTCACTCGTAAATGTCAGTGCCTGATAAGACATGATATCACAGTCTACTGATAGGTACAATGAACATGCGTATGCAATTAAAATGAGTCGACACAAAATGCTTATGCAGTATTCAGTGATATTTGTTCTTAATTTTGTTATGTTTGTGTAAAGTTGATATATATATAAGAATTTTGATTTATTTAAAGAGTTATATACAAGAGTTTTTACATTCTTGTAAAGCCACTAGTACGCGTAGCGTTTCGGGCAGGTCCTTAACCCTAATTTCCCTGGAATACGACCCCGCCGAATCGTTTAACAACCAGGTACCCATTCACTGCTGGGTGAACAGAGGCTACAGTTAAGGATTGGCGCCCGGTCAATCCTCCCCGGCCAGGATTTCGTGTTAAAGCTTACAAATAAGTAATTTCACGGCTTGTTTGAATCAGAAAGACGACACAGGTTGACAGTATATATTTATTGTTGATTCGTAAATGAGGAAGATTTGGTACATTCGACAGTTCTAAGAATTCAATGAATTCAATGACAGTCACCGAATTCAAGAGAATGTTGCAAAGACGGTAACTTACTTAATCATTTATAATCATCCTGTCCTCAGGGGATTTGTATCTTTTAGGTAACCACTTCAAAACAGCTATGTAATTAGTGCTATTATCTGCTGCCTATCATGGTTAGGTTAGATTAATATTTGGGTAGGTAATGCTTAAACTGGGTATTATTCTAAAACTCGTGAAATATAAAATTCGAAAACTATTTGAGTATCCCCTAGAATTTCATATTAAAGAAAACCTAGGATTAAGGCCGTATCACAATAATGAGTTTACTATAGTTTTATTTTAAACCAATGATTCATATTACAATGGAAATATTCTTGAGAATATTCTCTGTGTAAAACAAAGGTTCAATTCTCGGTTTACAAATACTCTTATTTGAGTTATAATACTCTTTTAGGCCATCAAAAATATCTAGATAACTATCCAGGTGGTGTGAAAATAAGGTTGTCATCTTATCCTGAAGACAGGCTGTTTAAAATCGAGCAGCAGACTTACAGGTATCCAAGAAACTTGTTTAGTCTTACGAAGTCTAAACAAGACTTCGAATGAGTGTTTCAAATGACGAAAACAATAGCGTGAGCCTTAAAAAACAGGCAGTCAGACTTATGGGTATTCAGGAATTGATCTTAAGACTTATTGAAGCCGTAGACCTAATGAGTGTTGGGAGAAATGTTTAGTCACGAGAGAGAGTTGAAGAGACAGACTTACGGGTATCCAGTGCATGTTGCGGGAGGCGAGGAAGTAGCCGGAGATGCTGCCGCGTTTGGTTCTCCAGGACGACTGTGGGAGGACAAACACATCTTTTAGGTCAGTTATCCCTTCACCGCCTTCAGTCTGGACTTACCAGTAAGGGTTTACATATTGTGTAAAAAAAAACCTAGTACATATGTAACCAACAATTTTCCCTCCTTTTATTTAGTATTTTTTTTCTTGTGACTAGTTACATAAAAGAGTTAGACTGTAAAGTTATAATAATATTAGAACAAGAGGTATATACTAGAGATTAAAACCTTCAGTATCTACAATAATCTGTCAGATCAGTACTAGAATATGCAGCACTAATGGAATCCGCATTAGAAGCGCAAAAGGAGAATGAAAAAGGTTTACTATAAAACTGGTGCCAAAAATAAGTGGACTAGGCAGCTAAATCATATTAAATGAAACTTAACTGAGCTACTGTAACAAGAAAAAACATATTTTTACTGTGAAATAATGTAATTTTATAACGATATTAAACGAAACAAAGTTGCAGGTGACGCCACAGGAAGTCGACGATCCGAGCGACAATGTTGTGGCTTTGGGTAATTAGATGGACCCAATTTCGTTATAAAATTATATTATTTCAGAGTAAAAATATTTTTTGTGTTCTACATTCAGCACCAACATTATAGTGAGTTAATATATCGTAGTTCGTCATTACTAACATAATGATCGGAAGCTTTGGGTAGTTTTGGGTAATTAGATGTACCCGTTCAGTTTAGGTTAAAAGAGGTTAGGTAGGTTAGGTTTGGTCATATTTCTACGTTAGTTTTACATAAAATTAAACAAAATAAAGCTTTCCATTACATTATATGATTTTATCATTGCACAAGAACAAAAAGAAATAGGAACATATAAAGTATACTTGCTGGTTGGTCAGCTATTATGGTCGCATTAACCCTACAGAGGTTGATGGGCCTTAAGCCCAACACCAAAAAAAAAAGTGTAAGATGCATAATTCTGTTTTAGACAATAATCCGCCAATCATAAAAGCCTGGAGAGAGAATCCTGCCAGACCATATATATAAAGTATCTACGTCCATTAATACAGTTTGTGTTTTAGTTTGTGTTTTAACACAAACACAAAATATCCCCCAGGTTGCGTGCCAGGAATACTGAGAGCTTGGTTACAGAAGCGACGCTCCAGTCGAGGACAACAACACCGGCTTCAGTTTGCCATAAACCAGACAACCTAACCTAACCATCAACACATTACACCCTTTATTACACCTTACGTACCTATTGCCTTGCTGTTATCTTCCTCTATCTCTTCCTCACCTTCCTTCCATCTCCTCACCTCTCTCTCTTGCCTACATAATGTCCTTGCCTCCCTCGTCTCGACACGGGAGACACCTCCCGTCACGCAGGGTGCAGTCGCACCTCCACAGATCTCCAGTATCATCTATTGATACTGGTAATGGCTCAAAAGGGCCATTACTTACGGGCTATTCATGCCCGTGCCACTTTTTGGGTGGCTTAATCTTCATCAATCAATCTCGTCTCGGTTACGGGAGACATCTTCCGTCCACGAGGCTAACCATAGCCTGTGCTTCTTGCCCCGTTCCTGTGCCAGGTAAGTTACGGGCTCACCATAGCCCGTGCTACTTGGAACTTGTTCAGAGTAGCTTAATCTATAACAACCTCGTCTCGGGCTCACCATAGCCCGTGCTACACTTCGTCCTGAGTAGCTAAATCTTCAACAACAACAACCTCGTCTCGGGCCCGTAGCCCGTAAGTGGTGGCCCTTTGGAGCCATTACCAGTATCAGCAGATGATACTGGAGATCTGTGGAGGTGCGACTGCACCCTATGGAGAGGTCGTGACCTCTGCCCCCCCCCCTTACAGTGTGGGAAGTTAAATTATTATGTAAAAGGTATATAAGTTGTATGGGCATATAAAGCTAGACCTCACTTCCTCATAGCCACTGATAGGTAAGTACTGATAGAGAGGCACTTGTCCCAGCCCAGCTTATCAACTATTCCTGGCCCCCAATTCAACACCCATCCCCCCTCCCCCTCCTCACCTAACCTTTTGGTCATATAGGTAAAAAAGGGGGAGGGAGGTAATCGTCAGAAGAAAGTGCTAAGCCACTAAGACTATATAGCACTTAGAAGGGATATAAGGATTTAGGAAAGGATGAAGGGAAGGAACGGTGCCCAACGACTAGGACGATCGGGTATTGAACGCGATCCTGCAAGAAGCGAAGCCGTCGCTGTACCGTCCAGCCCAAGTGGTTGGACTGAGTAAAACTAAAAAAAAAAAAAGAGAAGGTATGTAGTTGTGGCTGACGATAGAGAGGGCAGAGCATCCCTGAAGGTCAGGTTAGCACTAACAACCTTGTTTACGTCCCCCTATGTCTAGGGTCGTGAGTGTACATTCGTTACACACACACACACACACACACACACACACACGCGATAGCTGAGTGGACAGCGCTCTGGACTCGTAATCCTAGGGTGGTGTAACAAAAAGGAGGCCTGGTCGAGGACTGGGCCGCGGGGACGCTAACCCCGAAATTATCTGAAGATAACCTCAAGAAGACGATAACCATATGAGGTCATCTTGAGGTTATTTTGAGATGATTTCGGGGCTTAGCATCCCCGCGGCCCGGTCCTCGACCAGGCGTCCTTTTTTGTTACACACCCCTAGGAAGCAGCTCGTAGTAGCTATCTAACTTCCAGGTACCTATTTACTGCTAGGTGAACAGTGGCATCAGAGTGAAAGAAACTGCCCATTTGTTTCCGGCTCCACCGGTGATCGAACCCTGAACCTTAGTACTACGAATCCGAAGCGCTGTCCACTTAGCTGTCAGGCCCCTGAACCTTAAATTGTAGAACCACATCAAGCTTGTACTTAACCATATGAACCTTAAATTACAGAAACCGTATCAAGCTTGTAATCTACCCTGTGAATGTTAACATTGGTAATTATAGATAGGCTATCAAATTCATTCACCCTCGTGCTGGATCTCATTTAGTAATCACAAGAGTGAATCTCCACCTCCAAGTAAAGGAGGTTATCGTGCAGGAAGTAAAATTATCAACATAAGATACAGGATCGAGTGCATTGATTATGTGGTTCAGGACCGTGAAAATTGCGCAGCCCGTCCTCCAAACAAAGATCCAAAAGTGATTCCATGCACCCGCCAAACTCGCTGTTTATGAATGAAAAACGGTTTACACACGACTCACAACTCATTTCGTTCGAACACTTCCGGAACAAATGCTTCACTGACGAATTTTGTTCGAACCACAACGCTATAAATGCTTCACCCACGTACTACAAATACAAATAATCGCCAACAGAACCCAACCACCTAACCTAACCTACCCTATGCCTATATATGCACAATATGCTAATATAGCATAATAATTTATATTTGAGAAAAATCCTGTTTTGAATGAACAGCATGTTAAAATTTATGAATGCGTCTGTGGGGTCGACCGCTGGTTGTAGTGGACTTGAGTCGAGGACGGGTTGAAATTGTGGCATGGAGATTCACCAGCCCATTGTCTTAAAATGGTACTACTGACATCAATTATTTGGTCAAACTTACCAAAATAGACTGTTTGCAGCCAGCAATGTCTACATTTTTCTCTAGTAATTTTGTAGAATTTTTGTACGAAAAATAACCTAAAGCCAAACATTCCTAGGCCTAATATACGTTACTTAGGCCTAAGGTATCGTAAATCAGGACTAGGAATGGTTAGACAGGTTAGAATGAAAAACGTTTTGCACCCAATAGTCCATTTTTTGGACGTTTGACCAAATAATTGTTATAAGCACAATCATTATTGGAGGATGGGCACTCACTGATGGGCCTAGCCATGGAGGCTTACCGTAGATCTAAGCAATTGATTTTGTTTCATTTAGCAGGTGTGTGGAGTCAATTATGAGCAGGTGTGTGGGGGGGGGGTCACGATGCATACTGGGGTCTTGTCACGTAACAACAATATAAACATGTCATGTCTCTGTAAACTTTCTCTCACAATATAATAGTCTACTGTAAAGTGTGGTGTGGGTTTACCTCGCAAGCACTGTTGAAATGTTACCAAACATCTCAGTGTGTTGACCAGGTGCATGTTTAATACTTTTGGATATTTGTGTGTGTTAATTTGATGCCCAAATCATTATTCCCCCCCCCCCCCTCCTGTGAATATCTTTAATATAGGCCTAGATAATAGGGAAATAGTCGTTGAGAAATCTATGTAGGCGCAAGTGGACATTTAGTTATGTTTTAGCAGGTTTATAATGAATCTATCCTTATTCATAGCTGAGAGACTTACTATTAATCCCACAGCCAGAACGAAGACGAAGTATAGAACCAGGACCAGGATGTCTGGCCACTTGAGTTGGATTCCTTCACCCTCCATCGCCTCTATGGCCCCAATCGGTGATACTATGCTCGCGATGATGGCACTCTGGCAACTGATGTCTGGAACTCGGCGAAGGGTCTTTTATACCTTCGGAGGCACCCCCCCTCCCCCCCTGGCCTCCTACCCGACCCCCTTTGCTATTTTTTTAGTCCTGGCTGATAACTAACCCTTGATTACCACTCCGTAACATATGCAGTGGTTTTGCCTAACCAGAAACGTTCAAAACTTATTGAAGACCATAACATGCAAAATGTAAATATTATGGTGTTTTTTTTATTGTTACTAGTGGGTCATATTTTTTACGGATTGGTAGATTCCGTACAAAGTGCAACAAATTAGGTGAGAGGATGGGTTGTTTATCAGGCAGTTAGGACGCTATAGACCGTAACGTCAAAAAAAATAGGTTACGTGGATAGCCTAGGACAGAAGGCAACCCTTGGCACACGTGCCAAATATGGCATGCAAACGAGTCTTTTTTTTTTTTTGGCTCGTGAAACCCAGGGCTCACATTAAACATTTTTGGTTGTCCCAATAATTCAAAGGCAGGAAATAATAATAATATGTTCGCTTAAATTTCGGTCAACAGGCGAGAAAATTTTGCGAAGTAAAAAGATTTGGAAAAAGAAAAGATTTGGCGATTGTGGCGCGCAATCATATTCAAAAAGTTCCCCCACTCCTTTCCCTAGGCTTATACGCTTTTGGTTAGGCTACAACACTTCAAATACAATTATAATTCAATTCTATTACTTGTACAGTACTATATTTCAATTAAAATTGACGCTAGTCAACTCGTGAGAACGGGGCTGTTGTTGTGATCGATACTTGTTAGAATGTATTACTGTAAATAGAATATATTTATACTTTATACCTTTTGTATCCTGTAAATAAGATGAATTTCTCTGTTTCCTGTAAACAGATGAATCCTTTTGTATCTTGTAAATCACAGTTTTGCTTACAGGGCATCAATGATTCGTAATAGCTAATGATTTTATTTTGTCACTCGTATTCTCTATAACCAAATTTCCAGAGAAAAAGGGAAACAACCTTTTGTCTGCAGGCCCACTAACATGGACAAAAAAAAAATAGCCTATTGAATGTTTAGTTTGATATATATTTCATGAAAACTGCAACCTGTCCTCAGGTTGGGAAATCCTTGTGGGGCATTTTCTCGTTTCGTTAGAAATGAGATTAGGCTAGTTGCTGACAGACATGCACTTATCAGTTATAGAGAGAAAAGTGTTTTTCTGTGGAGTTAAGGGGCCTTATCGTGATTTTCAGAATCATTTCCTCAAAGTTTAATGCTCGAGTGGTTTTATATTGCGCACTGTAGGTCACGTGCCCAGTCGGTGGCAGAGGGTAGGCAGAGCAATCTGCAGTCTTGGAACAACAGTGCAAGGTACAGTTATGGGGCAACAGAGCTAGGCACAGACGTAGGACAACAGAGCAAGCTACAGCCGTAGGACAACAGAGCAAGCTACAGCCGTAGGACAACAGAGCAAGCTACAGCCGTAGGACAACAGAGCAAGCTACAGCCGTAGGACAACAGAGCAAGCTACAGCCGTAGGACAACAGAGCAAGCTACAGACGTAGGACAACAGAGCAAGCTACAGCCGTAGGACAACAGAGCAAGCTACAGCCGTAGGACAACAGAGCAAGCTACAGCCGTAGGACAACAGAGCAAGCTACAGCCGTAGGACAACAGAGCAAGCTACAGCCGTAGGACAACAGAGCAAGCTACAGCCGTAGGACAACAGAGCAAGCTACAGCCGTAGGACAACAGAGCAAGCTACAGCCGTAGGACAACAGAGCAAGCTACAGCCGTAGGACAACAGAGCAAGCTACAGCCGTAGGACAACAGAGCAAGCTACAGCCGTAGGACAACAGAGCAAGCTACAGCCGTAGGACAACAGAGCAAGCTACAGCCGTAGGACAACAGAGCAAGCTACAGCCGTAGGACAACAGAGCAAGCTACAGCCGTAGGACAACAGAGCAAGCTACAGCCGTAGGACAACAGAGCAAGCTACAGCCGTAGGACAACAGAGCAAGCTACAGACGTAGGACAACAGAGCAAGCTACAGACGTAGGACAACAGAGCAAGCTACAGCCGTAGGACAACAGAGCAAGCTACAGCCGTAGAGCAACAGAGCAAGCTACAGACGTAGAGCAAGGCACAGTTATGGGACAACGGGAACAAGGCACAGTTATGGGACAACGGGAACAAGGCACAGTTATGGGACAACGGGCACAGTTAGGGACAACACAGGCACAGTTATGGGACAACGGGAACAAGGCACAGTTATGGGACAACGGGAACAAGGCACAGTTATGGGACAACGGGGCAAGGCACAGTTATGGGACAACAGAGCAAGGCACAGTTATGGGACAACATAGTAAGGTAAAGTCATGGGACAACACAGAATCCGTGAACTTGATTAATCTACTTCGTCGTTATTCTATTATCCTCTCTGAGATTCTAGACCCGTGTCCGGCCCCCCCCCCTCCCCCTCCCTTCCCTAAACCTGTGTTGAGAAGGGGAGGTGGAAAACACACACACACACACACAACAATAATTGTGTTTCCAGCCATCTAAAGCAATAAAACATGTGAAAATATTAATACTGTATGTGTGTGTGTGATTTGCTTGAATTAAAGTGGAGCAAAGGGGGAAATGCAGTGTTTAATCCTCTTGTTGTTGTTTTTGGATTCAGCTACTCGGAACGTTAAAAGGTTGTAGACAGCACGGGCTATGGTGAGCTCGTCGTACTTACCTGGCACAGGAGATGTGCTGTTTAATCCTCGGATATGTGTCTTTTTAAGAGGTAGCAGCGTGCTCCCCTCTCCCCCTCTGTGTACAACCCGTCCTCTTAAAATACGTCGCTTTTCGCTCGTATGGCCAAAAATGGACGTAATTTGAAATGAAATCGGCTCACGAAAGTGACGTATTGTACCGCTTTCTCTGAGTACTCCGGCTTACTCGGTTAGGTTAGGAGAGGAAATTTTCAATTAACGACTTTCATAATGTTTTGAAGCCTAAGGAGAACTTCTTGCCCTCCTAACCTACCACACGACCCTTCAATTGCTGTATTGGAGAAAAAATCCAAAATTTATTTTCAAATTTTCATTTAAAAATTACGTCCATTTTCGGCCTTACGGGCAAACGGTTTGGCTGGGCTAGGCTCGGTTGGGTTAGGTTAGGTTAGGTTGGGTTGGATTAAGTCTGGTTGCGTAAGTTTAGGTAAATTTTAAAACCCGTTGAGGAACTGACTTGTTTACGATATGACTTGTATCCAAGTTGTTTCCTCCTGTACCAACCTGTGTTTACAAAAAGAAAGAAATCGACTGATCACAACCCAATTTTTTTCTCTCTCGACACTATAGTGCTATATTGGGTCCGTCACACGTTTTCTGTTTTCGAGTCATCATCTTTGGACTGTATTTTACTCTATGGGCAACTCGCCTATATGCTCTTGCAAAGCGAACTTCAGCTCCTTGGGCTCGGCCTTCGGTTGCTAGTTGTTTGTTACAATGGCTCCCATACAAATCTTGCGTGTTTATATACTCTTGAAACTACTGATGGAGTTAGACGTAACTGCTTACCCGTTTAAATCATTCCACTCGCTTACTAAATGGTTATGTTTGTTTTATTATATGTGTCTGCAGAATCGAGCTATTAGCTCTTGGACCCCGCCTTTCTAGCCAATCTATTTTTCCTCTATTATATCTACTACATATGTTGGAAATTTCCAACAGTTATTCTCATCCCTAATACAACAGGATGTATTTCTTGTATTAGGCTTCATGCACATCTAATGTTCATTTAATAATCCTTAATACAACAGGATGTATTTCCTGTATTAAGCGTAATAATCAACTAACACTACTAATACGTAGTTTAGTATTGTAGAATTTACTGTATTAGGTTGTGGAACATCATGTAATTTCTCCTACAATTGTGTAGTGTTGCGTCAGCCACGCACGGGGGAGAAAATTTCCACATACCTGTAGATCTAACACCAATGTAACCATTTACTTTCCTTTATTAGGAATAGGTTTACTTTTAGTATACAATAGTTTACTGGAATCTCTTTACCCAGCTTAATCGCTGTTCCAGTAAATCATATCATAATCTAACATCATTTCCACCACCAAGCCCGTATTGCTTTATTTGTGCCGTCTACATTAACTGACGTGCACTGTGAGAATTAAACATCACCGCATAGAGAATTTATCTAAACCATCAAGAGTGTTCATACACGCCCCCTTCCCTATTTAGCGTTAATAAATATAATTTATGCTCGAATCCTCACGGTGAGCTATTGCGCATGCGTCACTTTGAGGAAGGAGAGGACTCGCCATATTTGCTGTCAACAAGTGGTGCTCCGTAGCGGTCCGACAAATCTTACCATCCTGAAGACGTCTTTACATCCATAGACGTTAAATTGAAGACGCAGCTTACCAGAATCACGGACACCAGTTCGGTAGGCATTTTTACCTCATTTGTTCTATTTAACGAGCTCTTAAATAAGATCATGTAGGTGCCATGTCGTTATGATGCGGGTGTAAAAAATAATCTCATGTAAGTGCAGCTCTTTCCCCTCCAAATATTTAGATATTACCGTATATGTGTGTGAATACTAGTTAGGAGGTGGAAATTACGGAATTATCATTATTGCAGCATGGTGCAACACCCTGAGGAAGCGTGTGGCCGCCATACCCTCACGTGTGCCAAGTAACACTATCTCAAACTGTTTCCAGCCTGGCGTACAGTGGACTGCATCTACGTCCCCTGTCACAGCTGAGACATAAACAGTTTTCATTGTAGATAGTACCTTATTATTCAGAGTCTGTATATATATATCTATATATCTGATACTGCCATTTATGCATTATTAATCTTCACATTGCAGTAGTATTTTTTGCATTACATATTTTACTTATTATCTATGTGTGTGCATATTATACTTATTATTATTATTGCATAATATATGTTCCACATAGATTAATCTTATAGAATACCCCCCCCCCCAAAAATGTTTCATGGGAGGCTGGCTCTAGAATTACATAA